AGTTCTCACTAAAATACCATCAACCATTTCCTGAACAATGTGGGTTTTATAAATTGCGTATATAAGACAAACAGCAAGCCAACAAACATACCACACATACACATATCAACATCTAACGTCTTCCTAAAACAGCAGATATAAAAATCAAAAGTAAGATTAATGACCATTCAAGCACCTCCCATATATTAAACACCAACAATTTAATTGAAGTCCTTAAATCTAAGGCAGTTGTTTCTAGGATATACATTTTATAATTGTACCTCAACCAACCAATTCATCAGTCAAAGATTGACAATAATTACGTAAAATTTCAAATTTGCGATATTTTAGTGTCACTGCATAAAATATAAAGACTATGTATAAATAATTTGATTATAGTCTAGGTTACGGCTGTAGGCTAAATAAAATCATAATAACAATGTAATGGAGAATCAACATCTTCATGCACCAGTTTATTTTATTTTTTTTCATATTTCCCAACTATTGCCTCCAGGCATTCAACAGTGCAATCTCTGAAGAACAGCTGAAAAGCACCAGAACAATAATGAGGACAGCCCTTTCTGTTTTCTCCAATTTAAGACAATTAAATAAAAATCAAATACAATTCTTAAATAAATTACTATTTTCAAGGTACCACTTAATAATATTAAACTTTTTAAATTACAAGTTAATACTGATACAATTAAATACTATGTATTTAAAATAAAAAATACTAATATGCAATGTTAATAACTCCATAGTGCTATTTAGTGCATTAGACTATATATATGAAATATTAAATTTGTCTTTTCTGAAGTTGTATACTTGAAAATAGCCACACATTGTGAATGTGTGTGTGTGCTATAATGTTTAGAATTCAAAATACATTTACATTGACATTTGTTTATGTGTGAAAACACGTTTTACATATTTGAGTGCTATAGAATTATCTGCAATAGTTAATGTATCATATATCACTTGATTTCAAATTCAGCTATTATTCATTTAATTGATTAGTTTCAGAGGAACATTAAAACAGGAACATTTTTAAGCAAACAGTTCTGGAAGACAAAACTATTCTTGAACAGCATTTATATAAATTCACCATGCAGAAGGCTTCAAAAGTCAAGGAAAATCACCATAATAAGCATGCCATAAAAATCAATGATTCCTCCTCATACACATTTGTTTTTTCTTATCAACTCCTACAATAACTTTAAAGTAGAGTTAATCGTTTAATTAACTCCAACTGCAGTAACCTCTTAATAAGCTAAATCTGGTTTCTTCACATTACTCTTACAATTAACTATTCATTCTCATGGAAAAAGTTGGCTAATTGGTTGCTGCAGTGAACATTATAATGTAGAGTTGCTAAGCAACTAGTCATACTGCGGTGTCAGTATCTATGAGACTACATCATATAATGGCTTTTATAATTATTTGGTTATTACCAGCTTTTAAACAAATTACTTTGGCCTACAGTCCCATATAAAGGTTTAACAGAACTGTTATCAAATTGGAAATCTGCTAAAAACCAGGCAAAACAGTTCTATGCTGCCGAAAGTATGCTATCCCACTAAGTATTTTACTTGTGGGAAGCTTATCCAAGCTCATTTGCAGTTAAAATATTGATTGCTCTTTTAGAGAACGTTACAGTGACTCAAATTTAGCGTGGCACCCTACAGCAATAAAGCTACTCATCTCAGACTGGATTAGCCTATTAGAAATACTTAAAAGTATTTATCCAAGGGCCTGTGCTGAAGATGATTTAATGCAGCATGTCTTTATAAATGATGTGGACAGACAGCATGCTTGGTCTTAAGTAAAATAAAGTGTAAAATGGTTAAAAAAAACCACCCTGAAAACATAGAGTTAAAAGAAAACTAATAGAAGTGAACTGCCAGATCTTAGAAGTAACAAGGCTTCGTACTTTGGAACATGAAAATTAAAATCCTGCTTCAGTTCACATTCACTAGCTTTGCTTAAGCAATTTGATCGTTTTAAGCTATTTCACCTTATTGAACATAAGCAAAAAACAATTATATGCAACATATTTTTTTGATAGTCATAAAGTAAAGAGCAATAAACGTATGTGCAGGTCAAGGGCTGGGTATCTATGTCATTACATTGAGGTAACAGATACCGTCAACTGCAGCTATATTAGCACATTTATTTTAGTGTCTAATCTATCACTGAAGGCTATATAATGATAAAGACTCTTCTCACAGTAACCTACCATGGGTTATGAGCAGAATTATTTCCAACTGTTGATAGAAGAGCACAGAAGTGTAGAAAAGGAAGGAACACGAAAACGAGATGGTAGAAAGGCACGCCACTTCATCTTTCCCCATCACACTGAATGAGCCTTGACACCTCAGCTCATCTGCCATTATGGGAACCTAATACATTTCTCATCTGTAATGCGAGATCGCCCAGTTGAGACGAAAGAATTGGATAAAGAAACTGTTCACTCGACACCATTATTTGCTTCATAGCTGCAATATTCTGTAATAAATGTATATGCATGCGGCATTTATGCCATCTCAAAAACAGAGCAAATTATCATGCTAAATTCTGAAGTGGCTTAACCCAAACTGTACACGATGAACAGAGAACATGTATATGATTATTTGCTGGAATGTCTTTTTGCTCATCTATGTTTAATAGCTTTATTCTAAAGAAACCAAAAGGTGCTGGAGCCCAACTTGTATAATTGCAATGCAACATTTGGTTTTGGTAATCTATAGCAATTTCTCTACAGCTGCAGAGATTTAGAAAGCTCTTTTCTTTATTACTGCAAATCAGTGGGCAGCAGGCTGGATTCAGCTACTTTGGGACGCATCCAAGATAATTCTGGAGTTCGGTTTGGAAATAAATTACTACTAATACTAACATTTATATATGAAAACCTTGCCATCTCCTAAGAATGGTTTCTAGTGAACATTAGTATGTCAAGAGTCTATTAATACATTAGTATTCCAACACATTGGTTTCACATACGTCCGGCATATGATGATAAAAGCTCTTATGGATTCCCCCTACTTGATTCCTAATCAAGAGTCAGTGCAAAAATAATTTGCTTTTATCCACCAGATTAAACATTAATGTTTCAGTAAAACATCACAGCACCATAAGCAAATACCACTGTGATATACAAAGTGTCATTAGCCAGTGTGTCTGCCTCATGTTGAAAAAATCCAGGAAAATATGAATACACAGCACCAGGTAGCTGGATGACATTTTGCAAAGCAACATGAATAAAATCCAAGGAGGAAGCGGATTTAGTTATTCAGTGGCTAAGAAAATAGGAAAACCTCTCATTCGACTAGAAAATTGTATGACCGAAAAGTATTCTAATCAAATTGTGCGCACTTTAAAGAAGATTTTAAAAACCATTTATGAAAAATGAGAGTTACCGTGGTAAGGACAGTAAGTAAAGAAGCTCATTTTTAGGAATTGATTTTATAACCTGTATATTATTTAAAGAGATATGGAGCAACAGCTCCTGTGTATATGAAAATCCTATATAAACATGCCAAATGTTTAACGCAATTTTACCAACTCATTAAATAGACGGCCATATTACCTTATACTAAATTTCTCATTCCTCATACACTCACATTTAATCTTTTACCTGAATATGCCAAAAAAAGATAAAATAGTCACATATTAAACGGGTGTGACTGTGCCGTAAAGCAAGGTTGATTCACCTTTTGTGTCAAGTCTCTAAAACAATGCTGAGGGAAGGGTTATTCCAGCTGTGTAAAGAAAATCTAAATTTGTAAATCATCCACAGAAACCTTGTTGAACAGCTGTCTAAAGTCACTGGTCCCCAGCATATAAAAGCTGTTAATCCTGACCCATACCTCCCTGTACTCTGTTACCATATTGATGGAAACAACAGATTACCGAATATCTTCCATCTGTGTTGAACAGACAGGGTGTTTAACTCTAGGAAACCTGGATTACGGATAATAATCCACCAAATGAAATCACTAATACCATCTAATACGCATTCATGAATTTGATTTCCACAAGGCATCATCAGAATTTATACACCCAATACATCTAATAATCCTCCTTTCCCTTCATACTTAATATGCTTGTCAATATTAAGAAGAAAAAAAAAATAGACCCATTTGAACAATACAGAAAACAGGGGTTAAAAGTTTTAAAATACATAAAAAAATCCACTGCCTTCCATAACGGGCTCAATTAATATACAGTACGTGACTTTCTATTTTTATTCCTCCGTTACACAGCAGTAATTAGTCTGACATTTCCATTCCAATGCAGCCATGTCCTTCAGGGAATACATTTAAAGATTTTTAAGATGCACTTTAAATGTTAAACATACATACCGTGTGACAACTTTAAGTGTTAAAATATGTACATGCATATGTATATTATCTTATTTATTTGAAGGTTCCTAATTAAGTGTAAAGCATCCTGGCTATATATTTCTCTTCAGTGTCTAAATTCCTAAACAGTACCAACACATATTTTTATTGAACATTAAGGTTGCACAAAAAACACTATACAATAAAAAATGAAGTAATAGAAATCAATCACCTAGATCAATCAAATCAATCAAATAGAAATCACCTTTATGCTGATTGACTGTGATACACAAATGCATATACAGTCTAGTACATAGACAGTCTAGTAAAAAAGACAAAGAAGAATAACTTCCATTAACCACATAGAACTCACTACACACTGAGTCTGTAATCTTTTTATTCTTCAATAATTGACCCTATCCATTTGCTTTGACTTGGAAAACAAATGAAAGAAACCTCACAGAGTGCGGATCAGTGCTTCTCATTTTACAACTCTTGTCATTATAAACCATCATTGCTGAGCAGTGACTTGATAATGGAGAAAATCTTTGGTCAGGTTTTACTTGGGGGAAAAAAAAAATCACGAAACCTGAATATCTGATGTTTAAAGAAAACAGTGAGCATTTCCTAAACTTATTTTACTTAGCTTCTTTTCATATTCCCCATTTAAGTCTATCTTACCTGCAGTGAAATCCTTGTTCAGATCAATGAAGGCATTAGAGTGTGGCACACGCATCTTTATAGAAGAATTAAGAGCAGTCCGACAAGACACCGTTCTAGGGACAATAAATAAAATTGTTAATGCAAAGTATTAAAACAATCGAGTGTCAAAGACAATGTATTTATTCACTGGAAATATTTTTTCATATTTTAAATAAATATTTTTTGAATCCTTTTGAATGGTATTTTGTACCAGTTCCCCAATGAAAAATGCATGTTAAGAACCATATACTGTAATTCAGGATTCAGATTGCTTGGCATCTTTCAGGAGGAAGATGTTAAATTATAACTGGGCAGCTTAAAGGAAATCAACAATTCTCTTTATTTCCTCTTTGAAACCTGCTACACCTATAAAGAAATCCCTGTTTACAGTTTCAAACCAAAAGGCACAAAATAATAACAGGCGTACATACTTTTATATATAACATCAACTAAGCAACATAGTTTTCTGAAAATACTGTAACTGGAAAGAATGTTTAATTGCCTTATGTTACTGATAGCGTCAATATCCAAATCCAGTAACATCAATATATGTTAGGAACAAAGTTACTGTTTAAATTATTATGCGTTCAAATGTATTATTACTGATGCCAAGAGATGTTCAATTAAGATATTACTCCAGTACTATATATCCAATAACACTAAAAGTGTGTAAAAATGTGTTGATATAAAATAATAGTTTGATAATTATGCAAACAAACCAACAAAATGTTATTATGGCGGGGGGATTGAAAGCAATGCAATAAAGACATGATCCATATTTCAGATATAGTTTGATGAGCAGTTGCTATTGGAAACATCAGGTTTCTGTTTTCCATGGTCTTAATTACATATTAAAGCTACCTCCTACGGCACAGGGAAAGGGGAATACATGCCTTGTGAAAAATGCATAGATAAACCAGAATGGATCACATGGCTTTAGATGCTATATGAAAAATTCTGGGATTTACTTACTTTGATAAATTATCATATGTTGGTAGTGAGAAATAAAGAGGCACACATCTTTAAAACAGTTCTGATTCCAACATGTATTTTTGTAAAGGATGGAAAGGCTACAAATGAGGGGAAGCCGTTCAAACCCATCTTGCATAAGAATTAGTAGAAGATGGTTTTGATCCATCAACCTCTGGGCAACAGGCCCAGCATGATTCTGCTGTACTGCTCTGCTGACCTGCTTAGTGTCTTTGAATGCTAAATTCATACAAAACATAATTTTCCAACACTGAGTGCACAAATTAAAGACTTCAGATTACCAGTGCAAGAACAGGGCAGTATCCCTCCTTAAGCACTTACAAAATTGACATATTTACAAATAAATGCTCTGGTACTGCAGCAAGTGGGGAGCAAGGCTACAGACTACTGCATTCACCAGAAGCCCGTGTACAAATTACCTGCTGCGTGCCATCACCTGAATAGTCAATTTCAACAGCTCAGTGTGATAAGAAAAAAATCGCACTAATCTTGGGAGAGTGTGATACACTGTCATTCTCACCTGTTTTTGTCTAATATATTAAGTATTATTAACCTATTAATTGCTATTTGGTCAGGAGCAAATTCTTATTTATCAGTAAGAAATAATTGAATTTATGGAATATTTGAAACCAGAAAAGAAGGGAAACCTTTTTTTCTAAACAAGCAAAAAGGCAAATCATACATGTCATCTGGCACTGGTGACTATGCAGTCCTTCATACAGCGGTTGAGATACAACTGATCTAGATTCATGATTAAAAATTAGAAATAGCAGTGGTTGTACTACCGACCCCTGTGGCACACCACTAATTTGGAGTACTATATCAACCCCGTTAGATAATGGGTAATTGTCTGTTATTGCTCATCTCTGTTATCTATCCATTAACGTGCCACTCTGTCTTGAGCTTGGAGGAGGACAAGTGGTCACTATGGTGCCAAGAACATGGTCAAATAACTGTGGGATGGGGATTGCAATCACCACTAAACAGGGAAAGGGAGGGACATGTCGCCGTGATGTTCCGCACTGGATAAGGGGAATGATTTTATCCGAGACCTATGTGACAGAACACACTATTGTGTTCACATACAGGGTGTTGACATGATCCTGGTCTGTCCCACCTGCTCTCTGCCTTCTACTGTGGGGGAGCTTTAGACTTTGAATGCCTGTTTCTAAGGTGTCTGACAGTGGATCTTGCTTGCTCTACATTACCTAGAAACCTGTGGGGATAACCTGCAACATTCCATCAACAGACTGAGTGAGAGACTGAAGGAATGAAAAAAAATTGTTTTTGTTGTTTAAGCTGGTAAGCAGCTTAGCCAACCAACAGTTTAGTCAAGGACTGATAGGAATCAGGTTAATGCTCTAAACAAAGAAATAGGCTTTTGTTTCTGTTTTTGTTTTGGGTTTTGTCAAGGAATGTAAATAAATGCACTGCTGCACCTGGGTTTAAATAAAAATGCCTTTGTGTCAGAGCCTATTTTCTATGTTTCTTATAAAGTGGCCTTAAAGAGCCTAGGTGCACCCGTGAGCTACACCTTGATTGGTCACAATGCAAATCAGTTATAATATTGTCTTATATCTTTATAATATTTTCTCAGCACAAAGAAGACTATAAGCAATTTGAAAAAGGAACACTTCAAAAATGGATATGACTAAAAACTGGTAGACAGTTGTCGATATTGATGCCAATTTTAAAGGCGATGCAATGAGATATACTGCTAATACTAAATAAACATAACATTTCAATGATAGTTATGATATTTATGCAATTTTCATTTAAGAGTTTTATCCCCCAGTACATTTAACATCACTTTTGGATGTGCCAGTGACATGGAACCTAATTAAATAATTTGCCAAGAGTTTATTCTTACTGCAAATTAGTTCAACATATTTGCCTCCTAAAGCCTGTGTTTCTTTGGCTCTATTCAATTACTCTATTAAATGAACAGTTCTATACACACTACTATTTCCCATAACAATGCAATAAAATTATTTTCAGCCATGTGGAAAGTGACATACCTTCCATTTAGATAGCACACCTGCGGCAGATTTTCTCCTTTGACTTGACCAAAAATATCAGGCACCAGATCAGCATTAAAACTATTGAGAAAACAGAATTATTTTTTGGCATAAACAGAAAAAATGAAAAAAATGTCTAAATTAAAAATGCTATTTTTAATATTTCAATTTAACCCACTTTACTGTCTTTATCCTATAAGAGACAGTATGATTGGACTGATATGAAAATTGCTTTATTAGCTTCCTTTCTCTTAGTTTTTTATTGATGAATGATCGAACGAGAAAAATGAAAATTAAAAATGTAAACCACCAAGCTTGAAATACAGACAATTTTAAAATAAAGACTAAATACTACAAAACAGAATGCTAATATATTTTATATCTGAAGAAAAGAAATCTATAACCTTGTCCTTATGGAAAAAAAACAAAACCTTAAAAATGGAGAGAAAAGATATCAATATATCAAATAGTATACAGCATTTCATTATACTTACTCCATAACCAAAGGTTGATCCAAAAAGGTTTGGTTTAGCTGGGTCTTATTATACTGATCTGTCAAAAAATAGATATTTGTTATTACCTGGAATCAATCTAATTTATTAAGTAAAGGCCATGACCCTTTAATGTGTATTGTGTAAGGCAACAAACAAAATTACAAAATATTCAATAATTCTAATTCAGCGTATGTTTATGTTACCATGATTCCAAAATACATTTTAAATGACCAAATTGTCATCATACAACAGGAAATTTCATTGAATGGCAGACATTAAAGCCTAGCCCCAGTTTCTCCTGTAGGCAAAGTGTAAGCAGAATGCCCACTTCACTTGACTTTTGATAAAAGAAGAAAATAAAGAGAAACCTGAATTCTTCCTACTGTTATATCTATTGTCTGAAATAAAGCTTTTCCTGGTAAGGATCGTGGCAACCTGGAGCATAGGGTGCAAGGAGGGACTACACCCGACCAGTACCAATTTCTGTCTTCCAAAGACACGCTGGCAAATGATACCACACACATCATTCGTGGGCATTAAGTAATTTAGCCAGCAGTCTGTGAAAGGTGGGAGGAAATCAGAGAACCTTAAGAAAACCCATGCGGATGCAGAAGATAAAAACTCCACACAAGACTAGGTGCCCTAGTCTTGAATCAAACCCAGAATTCAAGGGCAGTGAGACAGCAGTGTTTAAGTGCCACAGAATGTAAAATCCTTCCCATATCAAACCCACTAAATTCCTTCAAATGTAAATGTATATACAGCAATTTATTGCATTTTTTTTCTGTGATAAATGTTTCTGTGACCCATTTTTAAAGATAATTTAGGTATTGATGTTAAAAAGCATTACTTAGAGTTTGATTATTTCCCCAGTAGATAATAACAAATGTTTCTGGATTGTTGACATTCTTGTTCTGATTGGTGGTGAGGAGGACATCCATCTGTGAGTCTCCATCATAGTCTCCAGGAACCACACTACTGATGACATCACTGAAACAATAAACCCACAATGTTTTTGAACATTAAATCTTCCTGTGTGTACTAGGTGAGACATAAGGAACTTTTAAAACAGCATACTCACTTTAAGGACAGCTTTATTTTTGGCTTGAAGTAAGGAGCTTTTAAGTCTGCTAGGAACACAACCAAATCCTTTTCTGAAACACAGAATTTATAGGCATGTCAATGACAACTGACTGTCTACAAGAGGTGTTTCTTTCGTCACGTACACAACTGCAAAGCTAGACTCTCCCACAATCCCACATAATTATAAAGGCTTAAGCAATCACCTCCCTAAGAAACTACAACATATTCAGTAGTAATCCTCACAATTCAGAACTGTTTAATATTCGAGTTACATGTTACCGATTAAACAGATAAACATAACATTTTGTAGCTACTTTTGTAAATTTCAGTGAGTTAAAAGGTGGTTGTTAGTAACATGAACGTGATGTTGACCACACCTCTTTGATCAAACAAGTTTATTTAGCTAATGCATTAATAGGTTACAATGCAATTCTAGCTTTCAGCTCAACATATTTATACTGAAAAACTATAGTTACAATAAATGGAAACGTAAACACGATGCATTGGAATGTAGCTAGCAATTATTTAAGTAGGAATACAAACGAGCTCTGATGACGAAGAGATCCGTTTGCTTGTCTGAATTGAAATCTCCGAAGGCAGCGATAGTGCCATAATATTCAGATCCAAATAAGTCGGCTGTCACGTCCTGTAGAGCCAGGACAGCACGGTGTCCGGCAAATGATACCATAAGGCAAAATAAAAACTGACATGATATCCACATCCTCATTGCTCAACTACTTCCAACAACACAACCCAGCTTACAGCAGCACACATTTTACGGCAGTGTGGCAGCCTATCAAAAAATAGTTGGAACGACCTTAATACTTAAAAGAAAAATATTTGTTTTCCGTTGCCATTAAAACGCATAATACGTTTACTCGATTCGTCTTTAACCTATTAAGGATACAAGTTTTTAAAAATGAGTTATGTTGACACCAGTGAGATAACGTAACTAACGCCTCTCTTCCGACTTTACGACGGTGTCGCAACGTTGTTTCTTCAGTAAATATGGCTAGTTTGGCAGATGTCAGCTGGAAGGTGTTGGAGTTCAGGGCAAGATCAAAACGTTCAGGTTTGACTTATTCACTTGCATGATCTTTTATAAATTTTAACCAGTGAGCTGCCTTTGTGCTAGTATGCGCTCTTGGAGTAGATTGTGTGTGTGTGTTTTCTAGCTAAAAAGACTAAGCTCCCCAGCTGATTACAACAGTACTGGTTTCCAACCATGGAAAGGTCAGGCTCATAAGTTTACACTGGTAGCTATTTTAAGTACACTGCACTACGTATCGCCTGCCTTCATTTTCGTGCAATTGCAATGGAGCTTTACTGTATTCCTTTAAATCTTCAGATAATTAAATCTTCGCATTGAAAAGTAAAAATAAATAAAGTACCTATCTGCTGGACGTCTTGCTCCAAATGTTTTTTGAGTAGTAATGGACGTCTTGTAAACTTTTCGGTTCACATTAAAGAAAAGACGCTCTGTAGTTTTTATCCAGTTTTCTATTTTGAAATGTATTTAGCACGTTGGACCGATTAAATCTGTTTAGAAATACGCGTATGTCGTGCTCCATCTCCAATTAATAATTAAGCACCTACCCCAGATCAAGTCTTGATACTGTATGCCGCATGGAAGTGAATCACGATCAATATGTAACTTGAAACTTTTCACACGAAACAGCTGAGAAAAATAAAATATATAAAAAAACGTCAACATGCCTAACCTGATATCAATATACCTAATTGTACTTATTTTCAGCTTGCATTAATTTTAACATTGCTAACTTTGTGCTTGCTGTGTAATTCCGACAATTTCCCTTTAACCCATTACTAACCGTTTTTATAAATTGATGTAGTTTAGCTGAAAGACGGTTATCATAAACTACACCTATTGAAAATGGCCAGCTTCGGAGATGAGTGTCCCAGCTCTGATCATATTCTTCAGAGATACAGTAAGTATTCCATCACAGGGACATTCCATTGGTACCCAGCACACAGTCTTGTAAGTGAAAGTGTAAGAAACTTTAGGGTGGTTGCATACCTCTTTTTTTGTCACCCCTGTTGTTGCTTACTGCAGTTAATAGGTGAACATTATTCGTTATGGTTTAAAATAGAAATAAATTCTATGTTGCTGTTTCCAAATAGCATTTATACCTCTGTGACACATTCTAAAATACTGATACTGAAGCATTGTCACAAATGCTTTATATTTTCAATTTCCATTACTCATTGATGGTGTCACGTACAGTACAGTAATAGCTAACTCTTTTATATGTATGGATGTATTAGCATTGAATGCTTTTCAGCTGAATTGAAGTGTTACTTTTCTAATTAAGAATTATGCTCCGATAGCTACCAATGTGTGTTTCAGCTTACAGCAGAATATCAGAACAAGACTAGATTCAATTGTTCAGTACGTCACCCTTTCGTAAGACAAAGGTAACCCTTTGAGCACATTATTTGAGGTGCTTGTATGTGTGCCCTAAGGGGTGTATTTGACGTAACAAGTTTACGGTGATGAGTTGAAGTTAAAAGCCGTTAGCTTTGTATTCTGAAAGTTATCCTCTGATTACAGTTTGAAGAATCAGTCATCAAGACTGTAGTGAAAACAATGACAGTGTATGGGTTCATACAGGGTTTTTATGTGCACACTAAATGTACAAACATATCTTAAATCACGGGTATCTTGCATTATTTAGTATATTCAATGAACTGCTCCCTAGAAGCTTGTAGGTTGTCACCAGCTTGTAGAACTTTGACGGAAAAAAAGATGTTGGTTTGACTGCAGAACATATATTCCTGATACAGAAGCAGTTGAAAAGGAATAGTTTTGTCCATGTTACTTACAAGCTAATGGAAATTGTTAATTTCCATATCCTTACATGAATTTTTCAGTACCTGAAGTATTGACCCATGGTTGATCCCATTAAAATGCAAATCACACTGAACTTCTTATAAATGTGGTCCAACAAATACAGGGAGTACTAAAATTAGGTCTTCTAAAAGTGAGCATGAATTCACTGGTGACAAGATAGATTATATTGTGAATTTCTACTGCCATCCTATATTTGTGCTATTCCTACACACTGTAGCTCCTTTTAAATAGTTTGATGTCCACAAGAGAGAATCAATTGTCATTGCATGCTTTGTTGCTTTTGTTAGCACTGATATGAGCCTTGGTTTTTTTTGTCGTCTGAGCAACAGCAGAATATTTTCTCAATTTCCCTTGTGCACATGTGAGTTCCCAATACTAAACAGCAAAAGACAAGTTAAATGAGAATTCTTACTTTGTCAGCAGTACACAGTGCTTTGACAGTGAATTCAAATTTATCTGTCCTAAGATATTTCATGCCCTGTTCACTCATTGTTTTGCCCTGTTTAATTTTTCATCATATAAAATTAATCCCAAATTAAATTCTTCACGGCACTGATGTGGTCTCTGCATTCAATTTCTTTACCATCCTGCATTTTGTCTCCTAGAATGTTTCTTCCGTCTTCTGTCTTGGTATTGTAAATCTCATCATCTGAAGTGTAACTTATATACTACTTCATTATTTAAAAAAAAACATGTTTCTCTTCTACACCTGAGTGTATTTATGAATAGGTAAGAATTTATCATTTGAATTAGTATTTGTTTCTGTAGCCTTTATGCTATTATTATGAAGCCTTATCCTCATATTTTGTTTAAAAGTACCGTCTAGTACATAGTTGTATAACTCCAGTCTTGCAGGGCCACAGTTAATCAGGTTTTCCAGGTTTCTTTTTATTTCCCGAAGTCTGAAAGAACTTGAGAAAGGTGTTATACTGGTGTGGTTAAACCAATAACTATGTATATAGAAGTTTGGAGTAAATTACAACATGCAGACGCTGTGGCCTTCCAGAACTGGAATTGTATAGCTCTGCACTAAGGTCTGCCTACAAGTGCTTCAGTTTCAGTACAGATATAAGCAGGTGTCACATTGGTGACTCTTTTTAGTAGTCTGCTTGTAGTTGCAGTAAAATAGTTATCACATTTTAGTAGTCAAATTTAAACTTCACATGATGGAATTAAAATGTCTACTTTTCAGGCTCTGTCTATGAACCTTTGAAGAGTGTTAATCTTCCTCGACTAGATGATGAGTCTCTATGGGATAAATTGGACAGATACTACAGTGCAGGTAAGAACCTGAATCGGACTCATTCTGACCTTTTTTAGCATCTTGTGCATGCGTTGTTTACAGTACCTGTAGAACCTAGTTTTTGCTGACCTCTGATAACATTTGCATGTTTAGCAAAAACGCATGACCCATTTTTAAATGGCATGACTGTAAGGTAGGCACAACAGGAATGTAAAAGTAGTTTTTTTAGCCTTAGTTTTTTCCTTGCATGCATGAAGAATCCAGGATCTTTTTTTGGAAACTGAAAATGATGGCAAATGGTGAAAATTAATTGAGATAATACCTCTCCATATATATTTTGGTTTAAAAAGTTATGTGCTTCAGTGAAATTATTTTGTTACCATTTAGTAGTGTGTAGATGAAAGAAAGTAGTCGTATTTAGTGTCCGATTAATTCTGATGGAATCTTTAATTATTCGCTATTAGCTTTGCTTTAATGTTCACAGGCAGTTTGTTTTAAAATGGGCATTATCAATCAGCTTTCATTTTTAAACCTAACTACGAAGTATAAAACATCAAAGCTACATCAAAAACATAGTATGTTAAAGCCAATTTCTGTAGACACAATTACTACAGCAGTAACTATTAAAAATACAATTACACAGACTGCAACTATAATTGTATGAACTTTTAAAGCTTTTTTTAAGTCTTGTACATAATGGTACATGTGTACAGGAAGAGTAATTTGAATACAAGAGTTTTAGAGTTACAGTTTACTAGCCCAGAAAATGTTTTTCTGAAGCAGTATAATTTATACTGCATGTATAGCATTGATGGATTATTTTACAAAGAGTAGAATTTCCCCTAATGTCGAAACTAACAGAATAAAATGGCTGTATGCAGTTGAAATTACCTTCTTTTTCTGCAGCTCATCTTAAACTCGAGTTAAAAATAATGACAACTGTGTCATTCAAAGTGTTTCTGGGGATGTTTTTGATATTATACAGAATTTTTAAATGCACAGGTATCAAAAAATAACCAAGTTGGATATGCTTGGGTTTATGACCAGGGTAAATATAAAAGTAATTTAAAACATAGATTATGATATGGAAAGCTATATTATGCATGCAAATCTAAATAAGTCCACGTTGGGCTTTATCATTTCTTATTTTGTAGTGTGTTGATTGGTTCTTTAATAAACTGCTTTCGAGATTCTAAGCCAAATGTAAACAATGCATTTAATTTTTTTCTGAGCAAGTTTGCTACCTTTATCGGAACACATTATTAAAAAGGAAATTAGACAACAATTCCCATCATCTGAGCTACATCTTTCCAAGTTTCATATGAATTAGTACAATATCTACTAATTGGAAGTTTAATCTAGATCATCTATTTTCAAAAGTAGTTTGTGTGATGAATTAAGGTTCTAATACAGTCCATGCTCTGAGAGCTTTCATGCAGCTTAGTAATCTTTAACAACTCCAGGAAACCTGTACTGGAATCAGTCTATTCCCAGTACGAGAACTTCACACAATACTGATGGCAAGGAGCAAAGAGCATTTCCGCAATGATTTGAGTTTAAAGAGTCTTTGAAGTCTGGTTTCTTTTCTCCAGCTTTCTTCAAATAGCTGTCTTACCTTTGCTGGAATGTAAATATCTCTCTGTTCTGCAGAATAATTTTGAGTTAAAAACCTTGAAACTTATTGTAGCAGTAGTTAAAAATTGATGTCAAATAATGGTATTTGAAATAAGTTAATCATAATTTATAATACATTAGTGATTACATCGAAACCGTTAAAGTTGCAAACACTGTGGTTGATAAGAAGCTGGCTGGTTGTTTGGATTTGGATTGGGTTAATATCGGATCTGGTTCTGAAATGGCTCTTTAAAATCCAATCCGCTCAAGGTGCCTTGAAGACCTTTCATGCTATAAAATGTAGAATTAAATATTCAATTAATTCCCCTTTCCTTATGTATGTTAAAGGGCAGGCGAAGATTAAATGAAAAGAAATCTAACAAGACATCCATCGATTTGACAGCCCATCTCTTGAATGTTTTGTGGGCACAAACATATCGTAAATTTTCCTGCGCAACAGCATGAAAACTGAGCTAGTTTGCATCCGCCCCCACCTTTTCCTGTCTATTTCATGATGTCAGTTAGAAAGTTAATCGGAACCCACATGGTACGTGGTTAATTTCTTGAGCAACATCTCTGGAGGAATAGTAAAATACACATGCGTGTTCTTCCCATATCAATTTGGATTTTATTTGGGTGTTCTAGTTTTCTTCAACTCTTCTTAGACATGCTGGCTATGTTAATTGGAAAAATGTTAATCTTAATTGGGCCTGTGTGTGAGAGTGCCCTGTGATGCCTTGGCATTCCCCTTTACACCCTATGCTTTTGTGTTAGTCTACAGTTGCCACAACCTATATCAGGAATAAGGGGTCTCTTATGTACGGATGGAAAATGTAAGCACCCCCACTTCTGTGGCTGGTATTTTCTTTGTATACAAATCCACTACCAACTTAATTTAAAACTAATTGGATGGATCCACTAAACCTGTTTTCCTTTTCAGAAAACCATGGAGCCATTGGTGCAAAATCATTAGCCTGTGCTATAGAAATTGATATTAGCTTTGTTAGCTTCTTGGTGGCTACACACTATTTATTTGTGACTTCTGACTGTAGAGAAGAAATATTTTTGATTATTCTGTATGTGATATAACACTATAATCATTTTTTTTCTTTTCATGAGAAACCAATATTTTTCACTTTTAGTGTCTTACTTGAATTCTTGGATATCTACGTATATAGGTGCCGTGGAAGCTTTCACCTCATGATACTCTACTTTTTCAAGATATACACTATACATCTTCAGCCAATATGATGGCTGACCGAGTATAAATAATTACCTTGCAAGACTTCCCAGAAATTCTAATTATGAGACTGGGGATTACAGATGAAAGTTTTCAAATCAGATTAATTAAACTCTTGAAGAAAAAAGACATTCTAAATGAAAGACAATTTTTTACATGAAAGATAATTTTTAAAGTTGTTTTAGAAAGTGAGATTCTACTTTTATTTTATTCCTTACAGCTTGCATGTTACGATATTAAACCTAATAAAAATGGTCACTCAGTAATGTACAGGCTTATTCAAATTGTAATAGCTTTTTTCCCAAAAGGACTAAGTATATAGGAAAATCATGTTTTGTACTCATATTAAATCTCTTTGATAAAATCTCTTTGAGTCATATTAAATGAAAATATGTATATAAATCTTCATATATGAATTAGGAATGGAAAAACATTATAACAAAAACATAAGATTTAAAGACCAGAAGATTATAATTTAGTAACGGTTAGTAATTAGTAACTGGTAGTAAGTTGTAAATCCTCTTGTGGCATACATTACACTGACAAGATACCTCCTGTAGTTGGTCCTTCTGAAGGAGGAGTTTCAACCGTTACTTCAAGCAGAATTTCTTTGGGGTCTTGAGACCGTTTGATTTCCATTTGTGAACTGCCTTCATGAGTTTGAATCGCAAATTTAAAATTTGATTAAGCTTTATTGATGTAGGGGATACTTAACTATGCCTTTGTCGATTTGGATGTATGTATTTGATTATTGTCATACTGGAATGTCCATTTTTGGCCATGCTTGAACATCTTAGCCAAGGCATCCAGGCCTTTGCCAAAATGTCCTGGTTCAAGTTGGAGTTAATGATTCCCCCTATGTTAATAAGAGCTTCAGGACCCATAGATACAAAACAACCTCAATCCACTATAAATACCACACCGAATTTCATAATTTGTATTTTGTTCTGCTTCTTTACACCAACATAATGCTGATATGCATGTCAGAAGAGGCTTTTTCCATGTCACACAGTCATGATTGCCACATTCATGCAGGCAGTTCTGAGTCGCAGCAGTAGTGTTCCACACTTTGTACACTGGAAATGTACAAAATGCTAGTTTTGGAAATCTACAATTATTGCATTTGGATGTACAGTTTCCTCTTAAACGATTTGCAGAATAGTTTATGGTGGCAGATACACTTAAGCTTCTCTTTCTGGATGGGTTTACCACTATACCAGTAAACTTAAAATTCTTAATATTGGACACTCCAATGGAAAGTTAAAAATTATTTTTTTGGTTATTTAATCTTTCGCCAACTTCAGTCAATGACAATCACCATGATGATGGGAATTACTACTGAATGTCTTTAGTGTGTTGCATCCTTTTATACCCAAGGGAAACAGGAAATCATTGGAGACTTTTTTAAAAATTTAATTCAATTTTATTTGTATAGTGCTTTTTAAAATGGACATTGTCACAAAGCAGCTTTACAGAATTTTGGGCCTGAACCATCAGTGAGCAAGCCTAAGGCAACAGTGGCAAGGAAACTCCCTTAGACTAAAGTAGGAAGAAACCTTGAGAGGAACCAAGACTCAAAAGGGGGAGCCTATCCCCCACTGGCCAGCACTGGGTTAATTAAAATGTACAGACATAAAAGTTGTCTATATTGCATTACATTTGCAATATGTAAAAACAGTTTCCTTTGGTTGTAATTTTCACTGGGAAGTTGAGTTTGGGGGTGGAGACAGGAGAGAGTACACCGGGGTTGGTCAGTCTGGTGGTCTGACAAGCGCTCAAGTGAGCAGGAGTGCAATATCAGCTTTAACAGAAGTAAAGGAGGAAAGGTTTTATAGAGGACTGGCTGGTAGAAGGAGCTGTGTTCTGGGTCTGGGTTGGATAGAAAGGAGATAAAGTATCAGTGAATAACAATGCAAGCAGAGATTGGTAGTTTGCATGGCCTCCTTTTTCTAAATATCAATCTGTAGGCTAAGCAATTGACTAAACAAATATGTGTTTAGCCTAGATTTGAACATTGAGAGTGTGTCTGAATTCTGCACATCAGTGGGAAGGATATTCCATAATTGGGGAGCTCTATAAGAAAATGCTTGGTTGGCAGCTGTGACTTTTTTAATTCTAGGAACAACTAGGTAACCTGCTCCTTGTGATAGAAGTGTGTGAGAAGCTAAAAGATCACTCAAATATTGTGGGCCGAGACCATGCAGACCTCTGTATAGTCTGAATAAATGTATTCCCCATATTGTTCCAGGATTCATTACATATGACAAATATGGCATAGCTCTATACAATGCTATTATGTTTACAATATAATGTTTTTATTTTTTTTAAGCCAGAGACATTTTCTCATTCATACCTTATTCTCTTATTTGAGAATTAGTTGGGAGTGTATGGCAAACAAAAATGTTCAACCGACTGAGGTATTCAGTCAAAGCCTCAAAATCACAAGTAGGCTATAATTTAAAAGTAAGAGGATAACTTACTCCCATAAAAAGAAAATGAATATTGCATATTTTAAATCTGCATTTGTTCTAAGAGAGATACTTTAAAGATTACCTTATTACAAATGTCCTACTTCTTTTTCTGGATGGCTTTCTGTTTGTTATTTATTTGGTAATGTTGTAATGCTTCAGTGAATTTAATTTGCTGCAGCTGATTGTAGTGGATGGCATAGTGCTGCTATCTATCCTGGGTTTCAGGAGATTAAACAGTGAAAACAAGACTTGTTTTTTAATGGAAGGTATAGTAATGCATATTTTCTTCAGGAATACTTTTAGGAAAAGCCTTTGAGTTCCATGTAATCACGCATGGACTTGTCAGTCGGAAGCATTTTGTGCTGACTGAGAGGGCTATTATAATGACTGATGACATAAGACAGGTTTGTGACTTTTAAATCCCATAGATTTAAATCAAAGTTTCCTGCATGTTTAAGTTGATGCAAGTACACTTGAGGATCTTTCTGTATATCACTGTTGTAGTGGAAATGACATGCCATAAATTATTTCATCCCTTTACTTAAAAGGAATGTTTTTACCAAAGATAACATTTGATGTTATCTTTTTTTTATAATAGCTGATCGGATATGTATAGCACTTTTCATCCCAAAAGCAAAGCTTTTCATTTAGAGGAGGTGACCTATTTCATCTGCTACCAAAGTGCATCTATTACTTGGGTTGTACATGGCTTCACAATGACCATTATATGTTGGCATACCCACTACAAAGCAGAACAAGTGGAGCTTTGAGACATCACTACATTTGAATTAAGAGGGACATTTTAGGGTAAACGGATTAAGCAAGCCCACATTGTAACACATTATAACACTTTTACAATACTTTTACAATGTCTTGGGACATTTAATGGGCAACTTCCCAGTACCTCACTTGAACTTCTCACTCGACAAACAGCACCTCCTCCAGTACAGTGCCTTCTGTCCCCACACTGGGGTCGTTGGTCTAGAATGTCTGGTTAAGAGGGAAGAGTGCCACCTAGTGAACCACCAACTACCATATACCTGGTTTTTCCTCAGTGACTCCTTTTTCAGAAGAGACGAGTCCAAACTTTGCTTAGCTTCTAAGATCTGATAAGATCAAGCTAGAAGGTGGTAATGGTCCTTATAATGAACAGTTGGTTGCATTAATATAAACTCAATATTTCTGTATGCACTTAAAAAAGATAACTGATTTTTCCAAATTGATTAATAATGAGTTGTAATTACAATACAGTTAAGAGTTTTTTCTTCAGCATCTGTTAAGTACAAGAACAAATGTGCGAAGACATTGATTGTAATACATCGAGTAAGGTATGCTGCACTTGTATTTTAAAGGCGTTTTTCCAATCATCAACAACAGACAGATATGGCAGTAAGATAGTGGCTTTTTCTTACGTAAGACACAGAAACATTAATTTTGATTGTCATGCATTAAATAACAGGTGCTGTGATCCCATTTTCTAGAACAATTTAATGGATCTCATGCTTTGGTGAAAATAATTTGCATAATTATTTATTAGGATATTGTGGTTTTAATTTTTCTGGTGAATTGTCTGTATTTTTTCATGCTTCATGTGAAATGGCTCTTTCTTTGTCTTTCCAAATTGACCCTGACACTTTCTAACAAAGATTACACAAAATAATGTGTGTCATTTGCCCTGACATAACACTGTGATAAAGAATGAAGTGTACTAGGTATTATAATTATGTAAGACTGATTATGGCTAGAAAGATTACAGAAGGCAGTAACATGTAGGCTATAGTTCCTTCACCTAGTATTTATTAGCATTATTATAATAGATGGTGAAAAAAAATAATTTAAACTCTTTAAAAGATACATTTGTACTAATCTCAAATGATGATGGCATGACCTGAAACTACTGATCTCCTCTTATTCCAGAGATCAAGCATCTGCACATGTGATGTTGCACTCCTTAATACACACTTCTGTTTATCTCATGAATCCTGTGTGTGTTTGTATTGTAAATGCTTACTTGCTCAAAATACTAAAAGGAATCCAACTTTCAACCAGAAAGAATAAACATAAGAACAAAGGTTACAAATGAGAGCAGGTCAATGGGTTCATTTGGTTTATGTTTCATTCATTTTAGAACCTTATTAAGTAATTCAGGCATTGCATCAAAAAGGTACGAGCACCTGTGTTCTCTGGGTACCTTTACAATAAAATGTTCCAAAAATATTCTGGAAAAAATATTTTTGCACTCAATGATGCTATTGCCCTATAAAGACATAGAAGGGAGTAGTCTTTGCTCATTTGTTGAATTAATACACTTGTTAGGAAAAATACAGAGGACATAAACAGAAGCATCAGTGAGAATTGTAAAAACAAGGTGCATTGCTGATCACAGCATTTTTCTTTTCATTGTTCCACTATAGTTAAATCAACAATACTCAACTACCAGAGTCCCACCACTGGTTTGTTTCCAGTCAAGACCTTTGGGGAATGCAATGAGGCTAAAGTCCGAGACAGCTTGTATTGTGCAGCCAGTTCCTGGGCTCTATCACTGGCATACAGGTAAAAAGTACTGGATGCTTTAACTTTTTTGTTAAATGTTCTTGTACCTGAGCACATTTTGGCTCATGATCTACAATTTTAGTCATGTGTTTTTTTTTTGCTTTCTGGGTGTATAAAAATGTTCAATGGCTCACAAAAGATCCTTGAGAACTTATTCTAATGGCCTTTATTAATGCACTTTATTGAGAATAATTCCAGTCTGACAGCATTTGAGTCCAAAACGCCTGCTTTATTTAACTGATCATTACACAAATACATATAGCTATTTAAAACAGATAATTAGCTAATTGTTGAAATACAGTATATTCATAGTGATAAAATGTTATTAAAGGTTTTATATGCTGTAAATTCATTATACAAAAATGAATCAGTTTCATATTGTTTTTTTTAAATAAGCTGTGCTTCCTTTTAGATTTAAAGTTCAAATGTATCTGTTTTTTACAGCATGATTGATGCAGATAAAGCTATTCATCTAAAGATAAACATGCAGATGCTTACATTCTGAACAAAACAATAAAAAAATGAACAAACCATTGTATGAAAGAAATTTGAAATTCTGCCATAACATTGCTGCAAAGAAAAACATTTGAGTGCTTTCCCCCTATTTATACATATTTTTTCCTGTCTCTGAAGCTTATTATTTTATCACATTTCTGGTGCTTGATTTAGTAATCCAGTAATTAATCTTTCCTATCTTATTTCACTAATGTTGATGCCTCAGGGTGTGTTTTTAGGGGAACCTCATTGTGATTAATGTTTATGGCAATCTTAGGAGGAATATGGTCCCCTGCTCATTAATTCCAATTACTCCAGCAGGAACATTTAAAATTTAGCTCTTATATTTATATAGTGCTGTGACAAGATAAACACAAATATAAATGTTCTTTTTACAGTTGGAAAAAGTCAAATAAAGCATAAAAGACAACAACTAAGGCATCAGTATGAATGTTGTTTAAAGAATTAGGTATATATTGTTAAACTTCTGCTACTTCATTTTTTTTCTAATTGAAACAAAGTCACCATTAGAAAATATGTATGCTCTGAATTGACCTCTTGCCTCATATATATGTCCTTTTCATATGCATATTTATATGTACACTGTATAGGTTTTGCAATGCATAACAGTACTGTTCTGTGCACTGTACCTGCTAGGATGCAGTGATATTCCTACATTTTCAATTTCTTTTGCATGTTATCTTGCTGGTCCAGGCGCATTGATGATGACAAGGGACGGACTTATGAGCTGGAGCACTCTGCTATAAAATGTATGAGAGGGATTCTGTATTGCTACATGCGGCAGGCTGATAAGGTAAAGCACTGTTGCATGGGCTTGAGCTCTGACCTTGCTCAAAAGGATTAATTTTATATCCAAGGATGTCATCTTTTGGATTAAAAGCAACTTTTTAAAAATTGTTTGGGAGAAAAAAAAATCATTTTGACAAGTTAAAATTGGTTTGGAGGCTGAATTGTGTTTTTTTTAAGTGTATTCAAAGATTTAATGAGCATTTTTGGCGATCTTTTTTCCATTTAAAATCAATTTCAAATATTTGAATACACATCATTTACAGTTTAACTGTGGTCTGTATTAAACATTTTTGGCTGTTAATGACAAATTGATACTAGTATTGTGTTTTATGTGTTGTGCTCCATTATTATGTTTTCGTATCTCTTAACAACACTGGTACTGTAGTTCTTCACTTGAGTTGAGCAAATGAATTAAACCAGATCATGTGAAAATGTGATAAATGTGTACATATGCAGGTATCAATATTTTACAAGTGCAGAGCATGTTTAGCTTTAGCCTCATGTCAGTTCCTTATATGTATTTATATCATTTATGCCTTAGGTAAGATCCAAGTACTGAAAAAATGATCTGCAAAAGCTGACAGAGAAATCACCCTATTATCTGTGAGAATTGAACAATCACAGCATATGAAGTCCTTGGAAGAATATAAAGCAACCCTGTCATGCTAAACATGTTACAACAAGGGGTAACCACTAGGGTTTGAAAAACTGCAGAAAACCTGTATGAGATATTTCTACTCCCCACATTCTGCACAAAGACATTCTTTGGCTTTAATTACCTAGGGTGCTTTACAGAAGCAAATCCATTTTGTCAGAAATCGTGGTCTTTTTTTTCCCCTGATTTTAAAATAAATATATTTTTATCATCAGATAGCTCCTCAGTGCTGACCAGATATTTCTTTTTATTAAACACTGTTCATTGGTTAATTGATTTGTTTTTCCTTATTTTTTAATTTGATCAACTATTTCCTGAATGCGTAATGAATGACCAGGTTTATAAATAATAAAGCTTTTCATCAAAAGTAATCATCTGTTTCCTGTAGGCATCTAGCTGTGTCATATAAATATGCTAGCAAAACTTTGTGAACATAAAGGTGGAATTTACCAGCTTATTAGCCTGATAACCAGTACTGTATGCCCTTTATGAAAGTGTCAGTCATAATGATTTTGACAAGCTCTTTCAATCCCTTCACTCTTGCTGATGAACAACATTGATGATGCTGTTATGCGGCTCGAATGCATACTGCTGTCCTCTTTAATGTTGCTCGGTAATATGATTGCAATTAACAAAAGATGGAAAGCAACATACAAGAGAAGAAGGATTTGTCATCTGTAAATACAGTTAATTGGGAAAAGTGAATTGCAACAGAATTTTTAGTACTTGTTTAGTACAAACATGCTGAATGTCCTTGCTGGTTGGTTGCACTAAGTCTAAAACAAAACCAGCATCTGGGTTCTATTGTAGTGATCCAGGCTTCACCATCTATCACTTAGCCAAAGGAGCTTAATAAATTCTAGGATACTTTTATTTGTAGCTCTATATTTTTTAAACTGGTACAGGCTTGGCCAAGACCAAATAATTCTTCGAACCACTAAAATGACCTAAATTAAGTAATGGAATGGCTTAATCTTTGCATGTTCCTGTAACTTTAGTGGAATTTATCTGCTCAGTCTATGAAGAAGTAGAAATCTCTTGGTTTAGAAGGCATTCCATCTACTTTGCTGGAGGTGTGGAAAGTTAATTCACAGTAATTATTGATTATTTTTTTTAATAGCGTGATGTTTCTTTTCGTAGAGATTGGAAATCATCTTTACTTGCACTCCCCGAGTTATGCAAGGGTTTGATTCCTCAAGTCTTTACATAACCCAAATCTTACATAAGTTAGAAGTGACCCTTTTGTCCATATTTTGGATCCAGACCCTCATCAACTAACATTTCAAAGCATTTAAAGAAGCATTTGATCAACTCATAAAATATGTTAAGTGAACTACAAACTTATGACTTGCCACAGAAAGAATGCAGGGGTACTGCTTGACCCAGAGAAGGTCAAAAGTCAGGTCAGCGAAGCTGTAAGATTAGCATACTATATAAGGGGCACATCTGCTTTCCTATGTTAAGAAATACAGCTTTAACTTGAGTTCAAGTATACAAGTAATGTACATAAGCTGCAGAAAACTTGTATTCTATCTTTTATTATATTGTAGCTCCGGTGTGTTATAAATCTTTCAGGATTCAAAGTAATTTGCTGGGTGGTAACCTCTCCAAGTGAAGCTTGGTGATTTCAACTAAGTCAGTTAAGCTGCTTCTTTTATAGCTGCAGTAACGGAACTGAGGATTTTCTGTTTCCTTTGTGCTGGGAATTATCTTCTCCACTACAGCCTAGAATTTGGCTACCTTTAGGCTTTTGTAAAACATTTTTGTCTTGCCTGTTTTTTTATCAATTGGATCCATACTCTTTTCCACTGCTTGTTTTCATTGATATCCCAAAACCAGTACAGATTAAATTTCAGTATGATAATACACTATATATGCAGTTGTTTTCATTGACATGCCTTACAGTGCTCTGAAGCACTTGGTGGTCTGTTTGTATCTATTGTGAATTATTACTGTTGATTTGAGAGATATGTGCAATGAGGTAATGGAGGAGATTCCCATAAGTTCATCCATACAGCCGACTGAGACAGAGGTTGTTGAGCGTCTCTGCCAGGTTAAGCCTCTCAAGCCACCTGAGGTTAATGGTCTGTTGGGCAAAAAGCTGTGTTCTAATCAACACTACTTGATTCTTGTATTATTCCAAAAAAGTTGAAAGTTTCAACTACTATTCCTGTAACTGAAAACCTAAACCCTAACCACTAAGTGACTTTTGACGGGCTAGTGATCTGCAACAGGCAAAGTAATATGCTCATGTTTTATTTATTGATTTTAGTTCAGCATTTGATATGATCCAGATCCACAAACTATTGAAATGGCTCCTGGGTTTGGATGTTAAAGGGAGGCTTATAAAATGGATTAATGATTTTCTAACAGATTGCCCATAGCAGGTTCTTATGAACAATACTGCACATTTTCAGATAAATGTTTTTTAAAAACTGGTGTTCCCCAGGGCTGTGTTTTGTTGCCTTTACTATTTTCTGTCTATAAGAATGAAATGAAAATGCAGAAAACATGTGATAATCTATTAGAAGAAAATATGATAATTGTATTAATTATTTACTGGGGGTAATAGAGAAGGGGTGGACAATTGCTTTGAACAGAAAAGTCAATTGGAAAGGTGGTGTAATTTAAGCATATTTCAGATTAATGTTGATAAAACCAAAGAACCGACTGCTTGCGAAAGTAAAACATTAGATTTTCAACCTGCTTCCCTTATTATTCAGTGCGTGGAAGACATTCAGTGTTCCGAAAACCTAGGAACAGTAACAGATAAACATTTAAACTTTGCTGAGAATGCCAGTTGCATTTTTAAGAAGGCTAGTCGGTGTATAGTTTTGATCAGGAAGTCGAAAGGGTTTGGGGTGAGTCACAACATTTTAGAGAAATGTATTGAATGTTGATTTCCTTACTATTATGGCGTGGTATGGTAGCAGAGATATTACTGATTACCCCTCCCACCCTCTACACTCCCATTTTCAAAGGGAATAAAGGATAATTTTTTAAATGCCTATGGCCAAGAAAAATGTATACTAGAAATATGTTGTTCCCTATGCAATCGGCATACTATTAAATACAGCTAAGGGACTGTTTCTGGTGTGAAGTTTAGTGTAATGACAGTGTAATTTGGGCAGAGTGAGATGTGTGTATTGCTGCTTGGCTAGGACAATTATTTGTTTTTAACATTTATTTCTATTGTGTGTTATTTGTTTTAATAACTTTCTATGGTAGTGCCAAAGGCACATTTTTACCATTTTGGATAGACACTAAAGTTAAAACTTTTCAGTTGATGGTGTTTAAAAAGTGGTTTTGTTCCAAAGACTTATGCTTCATTGCAATTTAAAGTTTGAGGAATCTTTACTGACGCCTATAGATCCCCCCCACCTCTTGAGCATCGTTACCTTGTAGACGTGGAGATGCTTGTGTTTCAGTGAACCCCTAGAACCTAGAACTCCTGGCAGGCTGTCCCTTGATGAACAGGTGTAGGATGAGGTCCGAGCTGAAAACCAACCCACCCAGAGGGGACAGAACAAGAATCTGCCCTGGAGCCTTGCCTGGAGGCGTTGTCGGCTGGTGGCTGCGGTAGTCACTAAATCATAATTTGAGTTTTGATTAAACGTCTTCGGCCAAATTTTGATTTATTGAGCATTCATGACGGATATATTCTAGTGACTTGACCTAGCATATGCAATATAGCAAATGCCCACGTTAGTCAGGGTGTTGATTGGCTGCTTTGATAGCCCAGCTCGGCTGTCTACGAGTTGGGCTTCTAGGGGGCCTGAGTAACACAATGAACAGAAAACTGACCTTAAGGAATTTTAAAGTCATTTTCTAAAGAAACTGTGTGTGAACATCCCGTTTACACCACCATCTTTGCTGGGAGCCAGAGGAAGCAGTAAACCTTTCTGAAGGAAAACTGACAAGTCAAAGTAGAAAAGGCCTATACTTGAAAGTAGTGAGGGAGCATGCTTTGAAACATTCCTGTGCCGATTTATTTTCTCATACTGCCTCAATACATAAGAGGGTGTTTAGCATTCCACTGACTTCTAGTGTTGGTACTGTATAAAAAATTAATGCTTAGCATCTGATGTGCAAATGCATCATTCATCATAACACAGGGATATGATTGCCTACCAAGCTGCACAGAGTCCCTGAATAAAAAACAATTTGTTTTACTGTATCTGCAATTTTAGCTTTCTAATCAACCTAAATATTGAACCCTTAGTTTATTTTCCAAGGGTCTCCCACCTGCATTCCTGTCTTTGAATATCTCGGAGTCCTGCAGCTGGAATCGGGAATGTTAAAGTTTACAGCACAACATTAATTTCAGTGATCATTTTCTTGGGGGAATTCATTTTTTCAAAAAGTGGGGCATTACTGTATACTGCAAAATTGTATAATTTAGCTACTGTTTATGTATGTTTTTTCTAAAAACACCTTCACAGCTTTTCAGTCCTTATGTTTCTTTTACTAATGACCTCATTTTAAAAACCTTCCCTGTATTGTAATTAAAATGTACTAGTTGAATAGTTAATTAGTTTGCACAGCAATAAGCCATTTACATCTGTATGTACTTTTAAGAAGGAAAAAAAAGCTCTTTATATACATTCACAATACCCTGGGAATATGAAACACTAAGTGATAAATACCAATTGAGGGGAGCAAATATAATAATGGTAGTTATTGTGTGTGGGAAATCTAAAAATAATTCTAAGTCTCAAAATGAAGGAAAACAGCTTTAGCAGTTCATGACATGGAGTTTGTCATATGCTACTAAATAATTATCAAGGGAATTATTGGGGAAAAAATCTTATTTTATTTTTGTCTTGTATAAAATGCTCTGTATGTTTATGAAAGCATATTATTATCCATTAATTTAAAATTCAAATTTCTCTGCAGCAACATGTAATTTGTACCTGAAAGATTCTATATATATAGTGTATGACTGTCAGTGACTCAGAAGAGTCATTTCAGATAGATTATTATTACTTTTGTTAAAGTGTTGTACCTTTTTCCCATTTCTAATTAAAGACCAAGACTGGTGCATATTGATTAGTTTCAACCCTAGTGTTCTTGCTCTGTACAGCTGCCGAAGGGCTGAAGTAAAAATCTGGGACAGAAGGGTATTTGTTGTGACCCAGCAAGTACCAAGTGAGGGGTGACCTAAAAATAGAAAACTTATTTATAACATTTTGGTATACCGTAGGGCTTTGCTACTCTTGGTACCTATTCCTGGCACAGCATTGTTATGTGTCTTGCATTGTAAGTGGTGCAAAACCCCTTTTTTTTCATTCACATGCTGGCATTGTAAAACCCTGATGGGGAGCTCAGGCTGCTGATAGAAGGGTTTCCCAGAAGACTTAAAAATCTGTTTTTGTTTTAATTTATCTCAATAAATAAGATTTTAGAAGCCTGAGAAAATGTTTGATTATTTCAGAGATTTGGTAATTCTGATTTAATTTACAAGTAGAAAAGAAATATGCAGAAGTACCTACTGTAGGCAGAAGATTCCTAGTAAGAAAGTTCTTTAACTCTTGTAATGTTTTAAACAGATTTTGTTTTTAGCTGGGGAATCTTTATTTGGATTGATATTGTTTCCTTTGTTATTAATGTTGAGTTGATCTTATTTCATATATTCCCAAGCAATGAAATCTAAAGAGTCTCAGAAAAGCACAAGAATAAGTATCTTGACACACCTTGATCTAATGTTGAAGAGCAGCATTTTGAGGATTTTACCCCTTTTTTGAATGATAAGTGATTTTGAGCCTTAATAATGTGTATATATATATATTCCCTCTTTTAAGCTGCAAGCTCTATCATGTTACATTTTTCAAGGTTTGCTTTAACCTCTTTTCTTTTATTCTCTTTTAGGTAGAACAGTTTAAGCAAGATCCAAGTCCTTCAAAATGCCTTCATTCAGTTTTCAATGTGCACACAGGAGATGAAATCTTTTCTTATGATGCATACTGTCACCTGCAGGTATGTGTTTTTCTCAGCTGTGCTATATGTTTCTGTTAATATCAAAGTTGACATCTGGACATCTATATTAGCGTTTGAAGTGAGGAATAAAACTAAGCAGTGTCAGAAGTCTTGAAATGGAGCTACTTCATTTTTTACTGTGATGAATGGGCTCAACTTTTACTTATTGTTGCTGTGACAAGAGCACTCACGATAAATTGTTTACAATAATATTTTAGGAATGGTCAGAAGTATAAAATATCTTGTATAAATTGGAACTACTGTTAGGTGAAGAATAATTTCTGATCTGTAGAGAAAATAACACCCTACACAACAAAATGTTACAACATATATTTCCAACTATACTGTATATACATATGTTCTGGAATGGAATTGTAATTTAGAATTGAATAATGGATTCATTCACATAGAATTAGTGTTTTCTAATATTAAAAACATCAGAATAAAGTAATGCATAAGCAGAATGATGTACATGTCTAATTGGGGTGGGGGGGAATTTAAGTCATAATTACATTTATTTATTGTGTAGTTCTAAAATTAAGACAAAACTACTTTCAATATATGTTATTTTTATATAATTATTTAAAATGGTACTTTATATCATACCCATTTATGACTTCATGATAATTGCTAACTGTGACACTGATGGCTTTAAAAAAATCTTGGTAACATCAAATCAGTGTCTCATTGAAACATTCTTCATTTTTCCCGCTCAGCTGGACCTTGAGCTACAATAAATTAGCTGATGATGCTGTTGATGTATTGATTTGAATTCATTATGCGAGTTGGTTTCCCAGGTTTTTTTTAGCTTGAACTTGGCTGATAGTCAATTTTTGTCTTTTTATTTAGATTGATGCTGTCTCTCTGTTCCTGCTCTACCTTGTGGAGATGATCTGCTCTGGGCTTCAGATTATCTACAATACAGATGAAGTATGGTTCTGTCACATGATAAGACATGAAAACTTCAGACATCTGTTTAAGAGAGACGAGAATTAATTATTTTATGTTGTTTGTTATATTAACTGTAAAATAGAACACAGAGGGAATTGTTAGAGGAAAGAGGCTGTTTAATAGCACAGCTTAAAGCAATTCCCTAAATAGCCTGGGTATTGGCAATTAGCAATTATGTATGAATTCTGTATTTTGTCCCATTTTTGTGTTTTGTATGTTTTTTGTTCAGTCTCAGGTTTTCTTGTATGCAGGAATGTTTTAGTGTTTAAAAAATATATTTTAAACTAAAATATTTCTGTTTAATGAAGGTAAGCATATAAGATGTTTAAATTGCATAATTTGTAAAACACAGCATAAATATTTGTATTCTTTTAATTTATACAGCTAATTTACTGCATCCTACACTTGTCTTGGACTCACTGTGCACATTTTCCATTAGAATCTGAGAACGATTACTTTAAATATGATGACAAGGACCAACCTATGCCAAAATAGTATGAGGTTCTTGAACTACACAGAATAAACCATTGCTGAATTCTTCAGTAGCTTTAGACTCTTTTGAAAACCCAACTCTCATTGAAAGCTTACAGTTGCTTACGGTATTGCATTTGCCAACATACATGTTTTTTCCTTATGGTCAGTGTTGTATAAAATTAAATGGTTAATATGCACAGGCTGTTATTATTTTATTTATCCTATCCAATTATTGTTTAATCATTTTTATTTATTTTAAACTATATTTTTACACTTCTGTATGCATATACTGTAGACAAGTAATATTGGGTGTGCACAATATATACACATACAAGAAAGAGTATGTGTATTGTATATATTATTTTCAAATAAATAATGATTTTAATCCAGTGTGGGCTGTCTAATAATCTGGGAAATAAGATGTAATTTAATTATGTAGAACAGAGGTATGTGCAGTCTTTATAACAGCTACATTTTTATTCAGAAGAAGGAGCATGTTAGAGAGACGCTTAAGGTTGTTTAATACTTACTGTGCTTTATTACATTTAATCATTACCCATTATAAACAAACAAAATCTTCTATTTTAGGTGGCTTTTATCCAGAACCTTGTGTTCTGTGTAGAGAGAGCTTACCGTGTTCCTGATTTTGGAATATGGGAGAGAGGAAGTAAATACAACAATGGAAGTACTGAGCTGCATTCAAGGTGATATTATGGTTCAATCAATTATTGTATTTTTTTTGTTGTTAATTGCAATTTCTATAAATAGTCAACAACAGCAGAACACACACTGGTTAGAGAGATGGGATCAGAAATACAGGGATAATGGAACTGGTTAAAAGAGTTAATCATTTGAAGGAGGTTTGACAGGGAGTCCCTGTTACAAGGCACTCTGCTTTGTCTTTTCACACTTACATAGTTAATGAATTAAGGGGCACAGTGTAAAAAGTCCCCTCATTTATGTCTTTCAAGGTTGCAAAAGAATTTGATTATTCTGGTAATAAAAAAAAATATTATGAAGAGCAAAAAACGCTAACATATTTTCTTCTTGTAGAAAATGCTGTTGCGCATGACTTCCTATATGAATTGTTAAGCCCCAGCATTAAAGTTCAGTTTTTGGATCAAGGTTTGAGCTCTAACAATAAATAATGCATGAACAGTGTGAGGAAAAAAATCTACCCTAAAGGAGTGAATGACTTCTTTGGATTCAATGAGACTGCAATTTGAAAGCAGCTGGTGATGTTATCTATTTCTATATATTGTCTTTTATGGGTTATAGGTACATTAAATATACTGTATATACCAGCTTCTGAATTGTATGTTGGCAACATATTAAGCTTATTGCCTTATTCCTTTTGTGTCACAGGCAGGTTTCTTTAATTCTTTAAAGAAAAAAAAGAATGAATGCTTTGTATAGATTCTGGGTAACATTGTGGTCAGCATCTCCAAATGTATTTCATTGATATTGTAGATTTGCTATTTGGATGGGTTCCCAAGATTACATTAAAATTGGAAAAAAAACACTAGTTAAAATATCATAAAAGTAGAAGAAAATTATTTTAATAAATTCTGGTAAGTATCTTAAGTGAGGCAAGTTTATTTAAGATAAAAGATCGCAATTCATAACAATTTGTTTGGCACATCGATATCACGTCTGTTCTGGATTTTAAGCAAAATCTAAATATATATTTTCCTTGGCTTTTTTTTAGTTCTGTGGGTCTGGCCAAAGCAGCGCTTGAAGCTATTAATGGATTCAATTTGTTTGGAAATCAGGTATAACAATCTCGCATTTGCTTATTTACTAATTGTTTTCTTTGTTTCTTGGTTTTACTTTATATAAGCGCTCATCAGATAATATCCAATTCCAGTTTGTTGTAGTTGCAAGTTATTAATGCAACCATCTGCTTCATAATATGATCTAAATGGGACAAATACAAACTAGATGGGACATTGTCACCAATCATTTGTAATGTCTTAAATGTAACTGAATCAATTAAAATTGATTTTTATAATGTTATATAATAATATAAAATGGATTAGAAGGTCTGGTGTTGGATGTGTCCATACCATAATATAGATCTCTAGTACAAAAATGTTTTTACACCTTGTCTTAAGTGACTTTTTTTATCTCCACATTGTTAAAAAAACTTTGGGCTTACTGCCATGTTACAAGTAACAGCATTGAACCATAACAATGCTAACCATAAGTGTTAAGCTAATTAAGACGGGGCTCATTTTTAACGTGCTATTCATGAAATGCAAAGTATGTAAGTGTGTTTTTGTTTCTAAAAATATACTTATTTATTTTGTGAATGAATTAAAGAGTGTCCTTTGTTTTACTAAACCTCACCCTCTGACTAAACTGCATAAAATTATATACTGAAAGATATTTGATTTTTGGAAATTAGGGAACTACATTTAGTGTGAGAGTACATTTCTTGAAATGTGTTGGGAATAGCCAAAAGTGATACTAGTGAATGCTGACTACTGTTCTAAAAGTGAATGATTGAGTTTAAAACTCAATTTGTAAGGTAGTTAACTAAATAAAGGATAAATATTTTGTCTTCATACTGGACATATTGGTTAATTTTAGTCATGTTAAATTTAATGGTACTGCATGTAGAGGATTTAAAAGTTTGCTTAGGGAAACTTTAAGTCTCTATGAGTTTAAATATGAAGGTTTGAGCTAATATTTTTCTCCTGGATCCTAACCATTTTGGAATAAGAGTGACTTCTAGCTGTCTGTTAATTGAGCTTTTCCTTCTACGCAAGCTGCACACACCCCTGTAGGATGGCTGGCTTTTTCATGTCTATTTTTACCCAGTTCTCTTTTGGCTCTACTTAAATCATGTTATATTTTTGGTGGATTTTCTTTATCTTCCATTCTACAAAATGTAATTGCCCACAGATAGAATGCACTATGGTACTAGCATAATTTCATTTTTATTTGTGAGCTTACATTATGTAATAATAAAAGGGTATGCTGTATACTCAGTTATATCTTCAGCCCTCTGTGTTTTTCTTAGACTGCATTAGTTTACTCACTTTTATATTTGAATCAAGGTGTGATCACTCAGATGAGTGCTTCCAGCAACAGCTCACTGTTATTTCTCAATTAAAAAGAAGTGGTAAACACTTCTGTACTTCTATTGAATGCTTAATGTTAATGTATTATTTTAATGTATGTTTAACATATGTGTTACTAATGACAGCTCAACAGTTTCCTTATTTGGAAATTATTTGATTTGATACATGATGTATTTTTCTACCAACAAGAAATCCAAATGCAATGACAAGTTTTGATGCATTGCAAATTGTTATAATAGTTTATTTATAAATATATGCTCTCTTCAAGGAATTTCATTCACAAATATGTCTGATTAGCTTGCTAACATTACCACCCTTCCACAGTTAGGTTTTGACAGCACAGAGTAACTGAACGTGTTGTAAATAAGGGCTATCTGGCTTGGATGTCTTTGACTCTAGAATCTTGTCTTTTGGAAAATGGCTTAAATCAAACAAATGAGCCACTCTAACAAAGGCAAATAACCTCAGAGAGAAGCCATAGACAATTTAAACCAAGATATACTCCTCAGTGAACTCTACCGGTTGCTGTGGCACAGATGTTAATATAGATTATGTGTTAGTAAATGATATATGTCAATTGAGTAAATGACTCTGATGTTATCTGTGAATAGGCATTAGTTACAATAACTCCTGAAAAAAAATTACTATACTCACTGACTATGATTTATGCAGTGGATAAGAAGTTAACAGTCAGTATGAGATATAGATGCTACCCTTGAAAGTACTGGATACAGTCATTTAATGTATATTCCACAGTAACTGTTGTAAGGCCATACTTAGCAGGAATTAAATTTCCATATAGTGGCCAGAATAGATAATGCCAGTGACGCTTACATGGCTAGACAATGTAACATCACCTGAAGTATATCACTGAAAGCACTAATAAAGGCAGTTGATTTTAAGCAATATGTTTTCTTCAGCACAGTCACAGTTTTTCATTTGAAGAAACACTAGTTTTTCTGCCTTTTTGTTGAGATAATGCATATAAAGAATCCTCAATCCTCTTTTACTTATAAATAAGTCAAATGAATTTCTTGAGTGTTTGAAAACAGTGTTGTGTTCAAGGTACCAAGTACATTGACAGTTGATGGTTTACCCTTATGTCTTGCATATTAATTTGGTAGTTTCTCGGACAGAATTTTCGCATACTATCTGAAATGCGTTTATGGCTTCTTACAATTTGCTACAGGGATGGACTGAAAAACAAAAGAGAAAAGAGCTTGAGGTCTGGAACCAGCTGTTGCTCATTAGTACTTTCAGTCCTAGAGATTTTTTTTCTTTATCTCCTTTTTAAAGTATTTAAGCTTTTAGAATTACTCTTTAAATCATTGTAACATCTGCTGTATAATAGCCTAGTTCATCACTTGACCTAGAGTCACACAGATGTTCAAATCAAACCCTCCGTTTGCTGCATATTATAAATAAACAGTAAAAGGAATATTAGCATATTTTGAATGTGATCTTTTTACAAAGGCTGTACTTATTAATGCATATCATCTGGTTGTGTGTTTTCCTAACTCTGATAGGACTTTTTGGATTTTCAGTATTCACCACTGGAAAATTGCTTGCTATTTTGCCTTGTTTTTGTAGAGCTTGTTTTAGATTTTTGGATGTTAATGGCTTTCTTCAGAATGTTAAGTTTTCTTAAACCAGCAAACCTCAAAAACTGAGATTTATGAAGGAAAACAAACACTAAAATAATAGTTTAAGCAAAGGTAAATCATGAGAGTTTTGCTCTTTCAAAGCCATTATTACTGTAGGTGCACTGAGGTGAATTGTTCTCAGTCAGCACCAGTTTTTTTTTTTACTGATTGCAATGTAATGGGTTCTTGATAAGCAAATGTATTATTTACAGGAACACTCCAGGAAAAGATACAGAAATCCATCCATCCATTTTCTAACCGCTCTATACAATCCAGTGTTGGGGAGGAACTGGAGCCTATCCTAGCAAGGCAGGATACACTATTGATGGGATGCCAGTCCATCACCGGGCATGATGTAGAAGTATTGTAGCAAATTAACTTTGTCTGCTTTCTGATCTTGTTTGCAGGGCTGCTCATGGTCTGTCATTTTTGTAGACCTTGATGCTCATAACAGAAACCGACAGACACTATGTTCCCTGCTCCCTAGAGAATCAAGATCCCATGTAAGTAATTCCATCTATCCATTATCGGAATGCTCTTTGTTTTTAGTAAGGGTTGTGGCAACTTGGAGCCCGGACACATGAGGTGCAAGTGAAATGCAAGTCCATCACAGACACACGCAGGGACAATTTGTATACCCCAATTAGCTAAGACAGCTTGTCTTTGGAAGATTGAAGAAACTGGTACATGCAGGGAACATACATATGTGAATAAAGGGAGCGCACTAATTTAACTGTAGATAAAAACATATTTTCTGTGGTTTTGCAAGCCTTTCAACTTCTGTTTTTGAAGTGTTCCGTAGTTACATAAAAAAGAATCTCCACATAATTATAGTCTTGCTTCAGATTCATTTGAAAACTAGGTTGAATTTTTTTATTGCTAAATTCAGTGGCATTAAGGGTGATCCAACCGCATACAGAATATCCAACCGCAGGGACTATTACGTTTCATTTACTTCATTTACTGCTTTTCATATGTGTTGGAGGGGTGACTTCAATTGTTTGGAAATGACTATTTTAGTTATGTCTTTGATGAGAAGACATCAATTATATAAAAATACATTTAGGAGAAATTGTCTATAATTAAGGAGAAAAAATCTGCTCACTTATTAGAGGCTGTGACTAATTTTACATTAAATGTCAGTTATCTGATGTTAAGAACTGTGCTTGGAAATTACATTTTCTCAGTAGTATGTTTTCTTTCTTCTAGAACACGGATGCTGCCCTCCTGCCGTGTATCAGTTACCCTGCGTTTGCTGTGGATGATGATGCTCTGTATAATCAGACCCTGGACAAAATAGTGCGAAAACTGAAAGGAAAATACGGCTTCAAGCGGTTTCTGAGAGATGGTTACAGAACAGCTCGTGAGGATAAAAACAGGAGGTACTACAAGCCTGCAGAAATCAAGGTAGGATATCAGATAATTGATAAGGAAACCACATTTCCTACAGTGATCAGAGTCTCTACATACTGGTGGTCTGACTGCTCTTTATTTGTAGCGATGTGTAAATTGAGGCTGATTGAAATTGAGAACTGTTATGTGTAAAAAGACCAGGACTGATGGTAGCACATTTTTGGGATCTAGGCCATAGGTCTACATGTAAAAGTGGAGGCATGATTAGAAAAAAAATATTGTATTGCAGCTCCTTTGTTTCATCTGAGAAAGACTATTTGAAAAAAACTTACTTTATTAAAGTGTATTTTTTTAACTAGAGATGTTTATCTGAGATGTCATAGGATGTTTGGAGATTACAGAAGGAAACTTTATGCTTAAACTTGAGCTTAGTTATCCTGTAATAGCACCTTTTTAAAGGGTTTTATTTTTTGTATTGAAGTAGGAACATTAGGGCTAAAAAACATTATTGTAGGATTAGAACAGGAAATAAATGGCTGTGAGTAGTATGTAACCTAGTTTTATGAAATTCACACTTTTTCATATGCTTTTATTCCTCTTATTTTGCTGAAGGAAAGCAAATTAATTTGCCTGCTATTTGTTCAATTCCATCTGATCTGTGCTATCTTAGCTGAAATGAGGTTAATGCAGAATCTGCCTATATAAATTCATAACATGGCAACTAAGTACTTAGTACTAAATTTGTTGCTTTATCTATAGCCTTGACCTAACAGATTAAATGGGTACTGTGTTAAAGTAAATGGAGAAATCAGTGCACATCTTGAGTTGTATTTCTAAAATAACATACTCAACTTTTCTGGCTTTATTACACAAGAATAAAAGTATGGTTGGATTATCCTATCATTTGAAACATTGTAACCATCTTTCTATAAGGTGTATGTTCAGTTTCTAATTACCAGAGTCAGCTAAGTCAACACCTGTTTTTAAGCAGTTGCCTAATCCCAATGTTTGAACTTGGGTCAGGTTTTAAACCTCCTTTCGTTTGTCTAACATTTGCCTATTTTGTTGACATTGACATTGCATTTCTGCAGTGGTAAACAAGAATTTCAAACAAGTAACTGCTGATTAGAATCTTTAGAATTATTGAAAGCTATTGAACAGTTCTGCTAAACACACATTTAGGTACTGTGTCTAGCTAAATAAGATTTTTTTTTAGAGAGGTTAACTTTTAGTTAATTTATATTTATTTCTTAATTACCAAGAAAACAAGATTGAAGACTGTAGAGGTATAATGATGTTCTTTGATCTCCTTATTTTAAGTGCACATGGTAAATGGATTAAGTTTGATTGCTGTGTGAAGAATTATCAGCTCTAGTTGTCTCCTCCCAGATTACACTAATAAATATCTTTTCTTGTCCTGTGTTTGGTAAACAAATAAATCACAACTGTTGTGAAAGTGGAATCAATCTCCTTCAACAGCTAGAGACTCTTATTGCTAGTCTGATTACTTACAGAGATTGGGAACTCTGGCGTCAGCCTCTAATTAAATTTCACCAAAGCTGTGGTGCTTTGTGTTGGATTGTAGTGCATTTTCAAGGGCTCAAAATTGTTTTGGCATTAGTAAGGCAAACCTAGAATGTTTTCTGCAGTAATCAAATCCAATAAATATATTCCTAGGAGGTTTCACACTGCAGATAATAGCATCACCTGATTGAATATACCCCAATATTTAGTAAGAGGAGTATGATAATGAATATCTTTACAGAGGCTCTACCCATTTATGACTTGCATAACAGCAAACACACATATAACATAAAACATATTTGTGTATTTTTTAACACATACATATTTTGTATATTGATTGCTTTTGATAACTTAATGATAAATGATCACTCATGACTAACTATGATACACTCAGGTGACCATGATTGCTACAAAATTTCCACAATAGTGAGAGTTAATCTAGCACACAGGCGATGAGGTGATTTTCAGTTTAAGCTTTATTATCCTCTGGGGGAAATTTGTTTTACAGCACAGTCCAATACAACAAATAAAGCAAGGAAGATGAGCATTACCAACTGAGAAGACGGTACAGTAGTGTTACAGGAGATAAAAGACTACTTATTATACATTCTTTGAGAGAGATATTGCAGAGGGGATGACAGATTTCCTGAGTCAGTTACTTTTACACCTGGGGACACAGATGGGAGTAGTGTAAATATGCAGTGGATGGGGTGAGTCACACACTCCACAAATTTAAGTCACACAGTCACACACATTTAAGGTGATCGGATTTGATTTGCACCAATTATTTTGCTACGTATTTGACTCATTTTAACAACGTTATTACGCTTAATGGTACTGAAGTGAAACATTGTTAAAACAATTTCAATGAATAACTTATAGAAAAATGTTAAAATTGTTTTATCTACCTTAAATACCTTAGTTTCCTAAGCAAAACAGTCTTCGTTGGCCCTTTTTTATAAATTAAGTCCCATTTTAGTTATTTTGTCTATGACCAGTCCAAAGAACATTAGCAATTTCTACAGTCTGACCATTTATTAAAGTAAGCTGGTGTGATGTTTCATTTTTCCTGAAATCAACGACAAGCTCCTTTGTTTTCAAGGCATTTTACTTCAAAGACAAGTCATCACACCATTTAGTAAAATCATTAAGAGTGGCCGCATGATGGTTTTCTGGGTTCCTTAATCACCTGACCAGGACTGTGTCATTAGCAAATTCAATGAGATGCTTATGTGTTTGCAATTACAATCGTTAGTGAAACCTGTTTAACCTGTTGAAATTTAAGCCTGGCGAAAATCAAACAAGTATATCACAGAAAGAAACAAATATGCCCCACATATGAGGAGAACACTTTTGTGTCATTGTAATGTTGGAGCAACACTTCGGGTGGTCTTGCCAGCAGTGAAGCTAATTTCTCTTGAACAATCAATCAAGGTTTTGTGTAGACCCCCTGATGGACATCCTTGAGTATGTCTGTGATGTGCAGAATAATATGCTAATGTGATTGTTTTGTACAACAAACTAATCATTAGGAATTAATTAATTGCATCTGGCAATCTGACTTCTTGATGCTACATTAATCAAGTCCCTGTGTACTCATGTGCTACCTTTACTGTGGGATCAACCTAACATGAATATATTCCTGTAAGACAACACACATTGTCACACTTCTCGCTCAAGTAACAGAGTGAATTCTTGCAACATGATTTTAAGACGCTTATACCTTGATTGTCCTATTTGACATACCGTATATGAAGGCAGATATGTGGTATCTAGGACCCAGAGACTATTGAACAAGCACATGCTTTTCCAGGTGTTACGGGGGTAGTGAAAAGCCCACAAGGCAACATACTGTATGCAACCTGATACAGAACATGTATCACAGACATGCAGTACAGCTTGTATTGATCTCATGTTGGTTCTGTCTGTTCAATAACATATCAATGCCCCTGCTACAAAAATGCTTGTCATTTTGTTCATAATAATTGAACATTGAATTTAAATTGAATACTTGAAATTGAATTGAATTTAAATTTCTTATATACTGTAAGTGATAAAATATATTGAGAATTAAAATAAACGTATCTAACTGTTTTAAGTCCCACAGCTGGAAGTAATTTAACAAACCATATTAATGTTGTTCTTTTCTCAAAAGCCAAGGCACTATATAAGTTTGTATAGTACTTTTTTTTCTATAAAATTATTTATAGAGATGATTTGCATATTAAAACATGTTCATATATTTATAGCTCTTTGATGGAATTGAATGCGAGTTTCCATTGTTTTACATCTACATGATAATTGATGGTAAGTCACAATCATCCATTTAATGAAAATGACCTTTATACTTCTTTGTAATGATTCCTTATCACAGTTGTTAAGCTTCTTAAAATTACTAGTAATTAATAGATCACTAGTAATTTGTTTTTTAAAAAACTTTTGTTGCTAAATAAGTTCAAATTTCAGAACTGTAAATATAAAATTAATATCATCAATGCAATGTTTTATTTCACTTTGGTAAATGTGTTTAAATTATTCTTCTTTACAGAAACTCATAAATAGAAGGATTAGTACCTGTCATGTTTTAGTGAGTGCTTACATCTTTAGGGTAAATTATTTTTTAATATTATAATGTTTCAGAGGGGTAAAAATGGTAACATTTTATTCTATTGTTTGTTACATTCAAGGTGTTTTTAGAGGAAATTCGGAGCAAGTGAAAGAATATAAGAAATTGCTGGATCCTGTGATTTTTCATTCCTATGATGGTAAGATGCTGGCTGTTTACTAGGATATTATTTCAAGATAGGATATTTTAGAGCTTAGTTCTTAAATATGTATCCATCACCTCACATGTAACAGAATTTAGAGTTATGGGTCTGTAGTTACTTGACTTTTTATCACCACATTGATGAGCTTTGCATTTGCGATTCACTAGTCTGGGGAGGGGCTTCAGTGACTTTTGCACTAATGGCTTATAAGTTAATATGTATTATTTGCTTGAGTATAAATGTAAGTCTCAAGTTGGGGATTTATTAACTTTGAGTGTTTGTAGGTGTACAGTATTGTTGAATTCATTGCTAGTAAACACCTAAGGGGAATACTGTTTTTATTATGTCATGCATTTCCCTTTCATTGTCTAAAAACATTCTCATTTTTCCAAATGTTTGCTTCATTCTTCATTCTTGATGGCTCGTTTGCTGTTCTAATACTGAAAAAAAATATTTTAGCCTTCACTGCAATATTCCTTTCAATTACTGTACTCTTTTTCTTTAACTGGATTTTGATTTTTTTTAAACTAAGTTTTAATCATTTTGAATCGATTTGTTATTTTTGGGCACTTATAAATTCTGATTAAGTTTTCAAAATAATATTCAAAATATCACTAATGTTCGAGTTTCACTTGTGTTAATGTAAGAAATTGCATTCATTGTTTTGACTTTTGGAAATAAATTAAGCTATGCAAGAAAGTACATGCATAGAAACATTTGCACTGTTTTTCATGGTAACAATTTATTGTGGCATCTGAGATCCTGTTTAAGTCATTTTATACTTGCAAATGAATTCCCCATTTTTTATAAAATACATTGGTTTTTCATAATGCTGACATAGCTTAAATCCATTGAGGACTCGTGTAGGTTGGTTTGCTATGGAAAAGGTATCTCTCCCAAGTATGTTTTTATATGCATTTAATTAATGTTAAGAATTTGCTGTCTTAGGCTATGTAGATAAATGGTAGAAAATGCTAGGCTGCATCTTTAGCTTGAGATTTGGTTCTTTAAGGGATGAATCCTTGATTAATAATAAAAGGAAGATTAAATGTGGCTTTTGGGCCACAGCATAAAACATGAAATATCTGTTTCCAGCAAGCCATATATTGTTATATTGCATTGTAAATTAAATGGCTTAAAACACAGACAAGCTTGGTAGTCTCTCCTTTGGATCCATTACATCTGTTTCTTTTGAAAAGAAAAAACATAGCCCTTTGGCTCTGCTTGTCTGATGAACAATACTTCTTTTTTCTTCATTTTCTTTGAAGTATATATTTTTCAAATACCTCCACAGGGCATGCTATTATCCCGAAGTATTACCATGTGCCAGCTGATTTTGTAGAGGCCGAGCAAAAGAATCATGGGAGCCAGAAGCGTTTTCCCAGTAACTCTGGACGTGACGGGAGACTTTTTTTGTGGGGGCAGGCCCTCTATCACATTGCAAAACTGCTTGGTATGTAAAAAAAAATAACTAGATCAGTATGTGTGAAATGTTTTGCCTTTTACAAATAAAAGTGCAGGAAAAGAAGTGCTCAGTGTTTAGTGCAATTGCTTCTTGCAAGTGATTGTTGAGTAGATTTTGCAGTTAAGTTTTTGCCGCATAAAGCTTTATTGTGTCAAAAGTTCTGTCTTTTAAGCAGGGCAAGGAATCCTTTGCATCATTTTATTCTAAAACTACACTCAAAATAAATCTGCTCTCTTTGAAATGCTAAAAACAAAACTGTCTCATTTTCCCTTCATGTAATGGATTACTGATCAGTGGATGGTCTGATTAGCCCAAAAGACCTTGACCCAGTGAGGCGCTATGTGCCACCTGAAGATCAGAGGAATGTCAGTATGAGATACTCCAATCAGGTAAATCATAATGATACCACCATTTCATCAATCCCAGGCTCATTGACACATAATGAATATCTTTCAGAAGAGCTCAGCTGAAACGTTTGAGAGCATAAGAACAATTGCAAATGAGAGGAGGCTATTTGTCCATCTCATTTGCTTGCTAGTGTCTAATTGATCTAAGGATCTCATGCACTATCTGGGTTATACTAAATTACAATTATCACATTAGCCATTATGAAGTACAGCACAGTACTAGATTCATCATAGGCCTGTTCTGTTTCTTAGAAAAACCTTAATAAATCATTCTTAATAGTTCTTATTTTAGATTGTATTTATTCTTTATTCACAAAGCCTATGAAAAAGGAAAATGACAAACTGGAAGTCTTCAAAGATTGATTGTAATGGAACTGCATAATATTCACACTAACTGTTGCTTGTCTATTGTTTCAAAGTATGCACATCTTATTTGAATTCATTTTCATTTGAAGTATAAGTGATATTACATAGATCTGTGCTTTTAAGAACATTTTTCAAATAGATGAATAGCTTAGACTGTTAAGATAATCACAGCTAGACTGTAGAATTTAAGTTTGGTTTGTGACAGGTTGTATAGGTGTTTTCTGGAGAAATTTTGGCAGTCATATTCTTGTTTTAAATTTTACACATTACAGTGTTTTAATTTCTTTATTTTGTTTTTATAAGTAATGTTTTTTGAAGAATGCGTCATTCACACAAAGGTTTTTGCCTTTTCTGATTAAAAATGGATTAAGTATTTGATAAAAAATCTAATATTAGGCTTACAACATTTCAGTTGTTTGGACAGTCATTCAAAAAACATCATAGTCCTTTTTTGTGCCTTTTTTATTAATGTTCAAGTTTCCTTTGCTAGTGACTTGTAGTTTCATGGCTTTCAAGCTGTCTCTCCAGGCTCTTTCATTTCCACTCCCTCTGTGTTGGGAAGGTACTTGTGTTATATTATCCTGCCCCTCGGTGTTACAGGGTCTATGCCCTAGTAATTAGCAATGTAACTTACTCCATGGTTTAACTCGGTATTTCAAATATAATTTTTTATTGCTAGATTTTGCATTTTGTCTTTGTCTGTAGGCTTATTTTATGGTTGATTCAATGCATATAGCATGCTGTAATTCTCTGGATGCAACTGGAATTTCATAACATGTGGTCTACCAATACCCCCTGTGCCAAACTAACAAGAGGCATATCTGCAAAACGTTCAATGCTGCAAATTATTTGAGTAATTGTCTGGGTCACTTCCCATAAAAGTAACAGTTCTAGTGTAGATCTATAAAAACCTCAACAGAATGTCTGAATGTGGTTATTTGTATGTGGTAAATTTAATTCTTTTTTAGCAAGTCTGATTTTCAATGATTTGCAGGAAAAGTGATTTGTTGAGTACGCCCTGAAAAAAAGCAAAATTGCTTTCCAGCTCAATAATTTCGACAAGGTCTTTTTGTACAGTATACAGATACAGTAGAACTTTCTTGAAAAAAGCCTTTGACTGCATCTCATAGATAACTATAGTACAACTACAGTAACTATACAATATGAATTGAAGGAAATCATTTGAGGGATGCTGTTTTCCATTATTCATTTTACAAAGAAGTATAAAGTGATACAATTATGTAATTAAAGAACATCAAGGTATATTTGAGTTCTATCAAGCAATAAATCTGTCTGTATTTGTTCTCTTTGGTGTTTGCTGTTTGATTTGACTCATTATGAGGAAGAAAATTAATGGTTCTGCTTTGCTTTCTAAACAAGGATAAGATGTTTTTTTTTCTTATGTTTACTTACTGCTGATCTTAAAATTAAAATTTAGGTATTGATGGGAAATAAAGACATTTTTATGCTTTTTGGTTTTGGTTTTCTTTCATTTAAAGTAGTACAGGAGCCAGTTACTGTTGATGCTCAGAGGTGAAATACCAGTTATACACAGGAGAGTTTAAAATACGGGAAAAACACATTTTTACATCACTGTCAGAGAATGTTAATTTGCTTTAATGCATTTCATTGTTTTTTTTTTATCATTTCCAACACATTGTTGAAGTTATATAAGTATACAATTTTGCAATTTTGACTTATTTTAAAGGCAACACCTTCACTGTTATTGTATAAGATAAATATCTTATGTTGTGAAATGCATGTATTCTGTATTTTCTTTACTAAGATGAGGCTGATGGGAAAAACCCTTAAGTATTGTTGTTGCTAGAAGCTTTCAGTCACCCACACAGTTGCTTCATGATCTGAGGTGAAGATACTGTAATGCCTATCCACAAGTGAAGAGAGACAAAACAAAACCTTTAACCAGAACTAACCTTCCAGGTCTGTGCTGCATGAATGATGGTTGCTATTGTTTGAAAGAAAGTGATAAATCTTCATCTGAGCCTGCCTCCAGAGAGATTTTGACCTTCTCAACAGGTTACTCTACAACCATAACAAGCATCAGCAAAGCTCATAGGACTACCTCTACTAATAGATAAGAAAAGAGCTTGAGATTAGAAAATACACAGGCATCTGTAAGCTCAAGATATTTGTACACTGTGTTGTCCAGTACTGTCATTATGTTGCAAGGATATAGACTAATATAGTTGTATTAGTATTGTATTTAAAAGACGAGGGCATTATTATTTTATCTCAGTTTTGTTTACCTCTGACTTTCTGGCTCTTCATTCTCTTCTTCAATACTTTGTTACTTAGGTTGACACTTACACTGACCACCATTGATGTAGTAAAATGTTAGATTTAGTACCGTATGTTAAAGATAGAATTTATAAATGCAAAATGCTGAAGATTTTATATAAATTAAAAAATACATAATTATGTTTCTCAGGAATATTAAATGGATGTGAAGATTATTTATAACTAAGGACAGAATGACTAATGTTTCTAAGAATTTTAGAATGACTAAAATTAGATAAAGCATTAAATAAAGTTCACCTGGAACAGTAGCTTATGATAAGAAACCTGTAGGCTGTTCTTTGATTCATTGATTTTCAAATCTACCTAATGGTAAATAACATCTGAAATATCCATTCTCAAACCTCATTAATGGTAAATAACAGCTCACCAGTTTAACTTTCATAAGATAGCAGGTTTCATATTGAAGATTGTATTGTTTGTACTTTGCTGTCTTGCTTCATGACAAAGAAATTATTCTGTGTGGAAAATATTGTCGCCGTTAATTCTAGAAAATTAGTAAAACTATCTAGGTTTATTACAGCCATGCCTTAATATGACCATTTTCAGCAGAGAGAAATCATTTAGTGCAATAGATGTTTGTGACATGCTGTTACAGGCAAATGGCTAAATGACATGCACATAGAGTAGACCCATAACAAGCAACCTGGCCTGGAGCTGAATTGGCATTTTGTTTTTCTAGTATGACAGGTAAATTGGATTAAAGTTTCAGGGTCTGTGATGCCACAGTGGCATTAATGCTTTTTATGTTTTTAGCTGCTTTGCTGCCTGTGCTTCCTGGTAATCAATGTAACTATTTTATCTTTTATAAATCATCTGATCTAAGAAAACTCTTGACAAGACAGGATTTTTTCAAGCACAAATTTGTGTCAAAGATCCATAAATATCAGCAAGATTGAATCCCTAAAAATAAAGAAGGACTTTGTTTAATCTTTTATCCCTGGAAACTCATGTGGCAAGTGTAAGAATAGAGGTACTTGCATTTAATAATGTATTTTCAGTGAATAAAATCAATGGAAAATTGTGGCCTGAATACTGAAGTCATGCATTATTACAGCAAGGTTCATTGACTGTTGTAGTAGGTTATCATCGATTATCAAGAGCCCACAGGGGGAAGGGGTTGCCAGCATTGTTCAAAATTGCCATGTAATTGCATCAGAATTTTTTATAGCATTGTGATTTGTTGTCGTGTGTGTTTTGAGTTTTTTTTAACTGTATAAAATGTTTGAAATAAAGTCCACAAATAGGCTACATACACATTTTCTACTTACAGAAAGTGCTGTATCGTACCCATTTAATCAGTTTAGTTGTTGCAGAGTATAATATATTTAGTTTCTCATTAAACAGGGAATGTGCTAAATGTTTTTTTGAAAATGCTGTGTGATTGACTTCAATGAAATGTATGTGTACTTTATATGTCTGGAAACACAATTAACAATTTCGCAAAAAATAAAATCACAAACACTTGGCAACAATTCAATTTATTCCACATATCTTCACAAGATGCTTGTACACATCTGGGATTAATATGTATTTTCCTCATTTTAGCTGTTACATGGTGTTTGTATATTGCTCACAAGCACAATCAAACATACTATGCATGCAAAGCAAAACTAGTAGCCCTTTAGCCAAATTGCTGAGCACCCAAAACAGATTCAAGATATACAATAAATATTAATTTATTTTTTATATAATTTTGCTACATTTTTTAAGTAAAGCATCTCTATGCTTACTGTTCTCTAGAATATAAGCAATGTGGATGTTTTGTGTCTTTTATGATTTTATTTTTATTATGTAAAAGCTTAAGTACGCAAACAGACATTAAAATGCATGGAAATAGCAGGCACTTTAAATAAGAAAATCAGTCTTGTAAACTGGTACATTCCTATTACTTTTCAGTTGGTTGTTTGTGCATTTTTTATGATTTGTGGGTTTTGTTAGAGATGTGATACAGTAACATGGCTTAGCATCCACGATTTGGTTTGGCTGTCTAAACCTTTGCACCAATTAGTAGTTCATACTGTACATTAAACATGAGTTTGAACACAAAGCAGATTGATGGGTACCATGTAAAACCAGGTGGAAGATAGTTCTTGAAAAGGGTATCTACGTTATGGTGTAATTGTACTTGAGTGAGACATTCTTCACTATTTTTGATATTAGTATTATTCTTCTTTATTGTCTCCTTCACCTTTCATAATATTATTTGAGACAAAAGAAGCCTTGTCTCTAGGTGAACAGATGTGAGTGTGTCATGGTGGTGATTTAATAAATGCACTGAGAGTTTTTTTGCAACATAACCAAAAACCCTTGACATTTTTCTCACTGTACACATAAAAGCCTTAGTTAACAGAACCTTGAAGATGTCATTCTTAAGAGGAAATCTTCTTACAAGTTTATTTCTTAAGGTTGGTGAAAATGTCCAGCTTCACTCTTCAGATTTTCATACCCCTTCTATGTAGCTTGCTTTACAAACATGCTAATCAATAATAATAAGTAATAGGTAATCAATAATTAGCATTGCTGCCTCACAGCGCTAGGGCCTTGGGTTCAGTTGGTTCAGCTGGATGGATGGATCGATCATCTAGTGTGGCTCTGGAGATAATATACTTTATAAAAAAGGGCTGCTGGTTTTGGGGGACATGATGTGCTTTTTTGTTTGGCTCGCTTTGGAGCAATCAGAGATTCAATACAGGCATTGGAGCGCTGTTGAATTCACAATTAGTTTACTTTTTCAACTAAAATATTTTAAATTTGTTGTCTTATTAGTACTTCCACCAATCATATATTTGACCTTGTGTATTCTGAGACGTTGCCTTAGGCGATATTTCCTTAATGTGCCATGTATCCGATACATTTTTTACATCCTGCGGTGATGGATGGAATTTTGGTGTACTTATGGTAATGTTTCTAAAGGATTAATTACTACAGACAGACATTGATTAAGTGATAACCCACACTGCATTTTAAAACTAAATTGTGTTCACTTGTTCATCATGTTTTGAAATATTTTGTCTTTAGGTTTTTTCACACACCATTTTTAATTTGCACAGAAAACTGGTTTCTTTAATATGAGTTTTCATGCTGTGTAGAAAGACTGTTCCTCCAAGCATTATTGCATACATTGTGCGTGACTTGGGAAAAAATATTCTTGACTCGTGATGATGTTGTCTATTTCATTACACACTAGGGGATAATGTAACATTTTTTTTTGTATATTGAGCATATTCAATTAAATATACAGTAAATAAGGCAGCTTAAAACCTCAACAAGGACAGCAAGGGTTGTTAAAAAACATCCGATTATTTTGTTTAGTTAATCTGTTTTTTATTGTAAGTAGCTGTTTTACTTATCTAAATATGTCTCTGTGGCAATATAATAATAAAACCTAATATATCCCTGATATAATGTATTCCAGCATTATATGTATGATCTTTTTTGGAGTCTTACTGTAACTGTAGTTAAAAAGGTGGAAAAAGATTTGTCATGGATTTGAAAAATGGTCTGACAGCTTTCTGTATAGCCTGGTGAGTATCCTTTAATTGCTGTTCTTTGATGGATGATTCAGCAATGGGTGATGACCCAGAAACTCTGTACAAAGTGCTGAACTGTGTACCATGTATATAATGTGATAACTGTTCAAAGAAATCATGCCCAAGGTATTGCATAGTAAAATCTGCAGCATTTTTTTCCCCCATTTCATCTCGGATTTTTATGGATAGCAGCAATGTGTTCTGTGTGTATAATTTTACCTTAATTAGCGGATGTTTTAAAATCTAAGCTAGTGATTCAACTGTGGTTCAGTTACCATATAACTTTTATTTAAGGATATAAATGCTGAACATTAATGTGGATGAAACTAATTGAACTAGTCACATTTTGTTTAAAGTGTTTATTGGAGTTCAGCCGTCTGCTTTCAAAAAGCGCAGATGAAGGCACTGTTGATACAACATACAGTATATGCTTTTTTGCCTCACTGACTTAAAAAAATAGATTGTTTAAGAATGTTGTCTTCTCATTTTAATTAATGTGCTTTTTAGTTTCAGCACCCCTTTAATCTTATGTGAGTGGAATATGTTCTGTATTAAATGCTTACATAAAATGTATCTCTAATGGTAGCCTATATATAATTTATGACTGTAAATATAGATGGTAACAGCTTAACATCTAAATGAATCCAATCCTCGTTACAAAAAACATTAAACTCTCCTGTACCTGGGGAAGCATTATAACACATCTTCTTCCTTAATACAGAACTCATAAATCTGATTTAATGTTCCTTAAAAGGACATTCTATTATTGTAGTTAGGAACAAAGTCGTATGTGTACGGTAGTTGCATTTTTAATGTCTACTAAAATATAAATTTGTGACTTACTATGTAGGGTAAATACCTAGATTGTTTAATCAGATGAATACAGTAAAAATAGACTATAGGGTATTACAGTATCTATAAAGGTTACTGAAGTTGCTGTTGTCTGTTTAAGTTGCTCAAAAATGTATATTGTGCTTTATTTGTATGGTCATAATTTATTATTGGGGAAAAAATGGAACTGAATAAAATTAATTTTAATTGGTGATCTGGGACTACCCATGACTAATCTTATTTGCAAATGTGTATTGTGAGAAATTTGTGTAAAAAGAAATACCATAATGCTGAAAAGTCAAAAACAAGACTTTTTTTTCATTTAATGTGGAAAAATGTATAGCTACTTTAGCCTAATGTAAAAAGTATCTCGGTACTTTTTATGAAATGTGACGTTAATTTTGTTTCTAAAACATTTTTAAATATAAGTCTTTTCTGAGGGAGAAAATAACATTAACAAAAACACTGTGCCCTACCTTGCACCCGTTACTTGACGTGATAAGCTATGGTTCCTCCATGATCCTTAATTGGAAGAAGGGGTTAGAAAATGGATGGATGGTTGATTTTTATTATATTTTCTATGGACTGGGGTACGTCTTTTTAGCATTTCTGACAGGATTGCAAGTATTTACAGATATTGCATGAATTGGATTTCTCCAAATCAAAGCTGAATAGAAGCCTTGAGAACTGTGTTATACAGTATGTCTGTTGCCAATGAACCAAGCTGTAGTCTCCATAGAGCTGTTATGCTCCATCTGCTCTTGCTCATCTACCTTTTGTATGTTGGAGCTGAAAAGCCTATATCAGATGCCTGCTCGTGCGATGTGTGCTTGTAATTGGGAGGTGACAAGTTCACCCTGTTTATACCGGCTAAGGCAGTCTATACTTCTAAGTGAAGCCTGAAGTACTGTCGTTTTTATAGAAAGCCTTTAAGAAACAGATCAAAGTTTGACCTGACTTTGTAAAAAAAAGAAAATAACACAACATGAAAAGTAGTGGTTTGAATTGAAAATATTTTTTCAATTACATGCTATAACCCAGATGTGTGTGCTTCTAATAGAAAATGCTGTCCAATTGTAATTAACAAAGAGACGGTACAGAAACACATTTTTTAATGAACATTCATTCTGAAGGATAATCATAGTGACCGACTTACTGAAACCTGCATTTTGGGTCTCCAGAGTGGGTAAACTTGTATTCACATGTAAGATGATTATTATGGATGACTCATAATAGCTACATTTATGAATATTATTTATAAATCATCTGTGGCAGCACATCTCAGACCTCAGCCCTTTTGTCATCTACAATGTCTTTGGCAATATGCCCCCTCAGGTGATAAAGATATACAGCTTTGAATCCCACTCAGCTGATATGCTATCTTTGCATTCTGCTTGATTAAAAAGCTCCAGGAGAGAATCTCAGATGCCATGTTTCCTTACCTATTAATGAACTGTTTAAAGAGAAGTTATAACGCTGTCATTGTTCTGCTTTTCTTTTTAATGGTACTTGTGATGTTATACTAACAAGATCTGGATTCAAGTTGCTAATGCAAGTTTGCTCTCTGCTTTCCAGGGTCCTATTGAAAATGACGTGGTGATTCATGTTGCTCTGATTGCTGAGAGCCAACGGTAAGTATGATAACACATTAAAAATCTGTTGAACATTTGGATGTTATTAAGTTGGTTATACTGTAAGTCTTCTGCTTTAAACAAGGTGACAAGAAAACCATTGTCTTGGCACTCTATCGCAATCTATTTAATTTCATCCCCAGGTGTCTAGGGGTTAAGGGATGTAACATTTAGGATGGATTTGGATGTAGGTGGGTTTCTGGTGAGGGACTTAAGAAGCGTGACAACAAAAGTTTGGTGCGAAAGTGATTTATTTTAAAAAGGTGAATAAGTGACTGGTACGTATACAGGACACAATAACGCACAGAGAAAAGGAATGTGAGCAGTGCGAAAGGAAAGAAAATAACAAAACCAAACAGATCTAGCGAATACAGTGAACTCTAACCTAACTAACCCAAACAAACAAAAATCTAAAGATTTCGGCATCTTCATGCTCCCTAACTTCCCTACACTGAACTTACCAGAACCAAAATATTGGTCCAATGGGAAATTTGGCCAGGATTCCAGGGTTACACCTCTACTCTTTTCGAGAAATTCCCTGGGATTTTAACCACAGAAAGTCAGGACCTCTGTTTTACGTCTCATCCGAAGGACGACGCCTTTTTACAGTATAGTGTCCCCGTCACTATATTGGGGCATTAGGACCCACATGGACCGCAGGGTGAGCACCCCCTGCTGGCTCCACTAAAACCTCTTCCAGCAGCAACCTTAGTTTTTCCCAGGAGGTCTCCCATCTAGGTACTGACCTGGATCACACCTGCTCACACCTACTGAGCTTCAGTGGGTTGCCAGTTGTGAGTTGTAGAGTGATATGGCTGCTGGCAACAACAGTTAATACTTCTTTATGCCTTCCACAAAATACAAAAATTCACTGCAAAACATATCTTCAGACATTTGTCATACATTCCATTCAGGAAGATGAAAAGGTGGACTTTGTTTTTCAGCCTACAAGTCTTCCTGAACACCTATGGTATTCAGACACAAACCCCTCAGCAGGTGGAGCCCATACAAATATGGCCGCAGCAAGAGCTAGTGAAGGTAATTTATTATGCTGACGTTGCTGTCTCATGTATGTTCTCCTTTTTGTCCTACTTGGGATTCAAAATTACAGTTTTACTGCTGATGCTACCTGCCTTTATTAACATTTTTTGACATATTGTGGCATCGATGGTTAAGTTCAGCTTTGAAAAGCTGTGGATTGTTTTGAACAGCCCTTTTATTGGTATTTTAGATTTACACTGAGCAGAAAAAAATAACCTTTATTAAGCCTTTTTAGGTTCTCCTTTTTATCAAGTAACAATAACACTGACTTTTGGTAATCAGATTTTCGTTTTTTTGTTACCCTTTTTTAATCCTGGCAGTACATGTTTTAAACATAGACCTAGATACAGTACATTAACTTCCTTTACTTGCCAGGGATTTTGAAATTAAATTTGCAATAGAATTAATTTTTAATTGAATGTTTCATCTTTTCATTGTAATGATTACCTTAAATTATGTTCTCTCCATCATTTTTGGATGTCTTTTGATTTGTAGTGTTTTACATTTTTTCTTTCTCAAGAAGCAGAGTAATAAGGGTTATAGGGCTCCATCTAGTGTCACAATGAATATAACTATCTTAAAACTAACAAGAATAATTTATATAATTAAGTAACAAGCATATTTTTCTAGTAAAATGTGCACATCATGTAATAAAACTGTCTAATGACCAAGAGTAATAATCAAATATATAAGTGAATATTTATCAACATTTAAGATTGTTTCACGCTGTGTATATACTGTATAATCCTGTTTTGAGTTACGCATCTGCTATTATCAAGTTTTCCTACACACTGTAATCTTTAGCAAGGATCAGGCAGAAGCAATCAGTTGGGGAAGAAGATAAAAATAGATTGTAGCTTTGCCAAAGATTCTGTATCATTGGCAACAACTCCACCTTCACAATAGTTGACAACTACCTGTGTAAACTAAAAGCAGTATCATTTCTTATCCCCTTATCTTGTCTTTGTTAGCTCTTGTCAATTACTAAGTCTGACTATTTAATTTTTCATTTCAGTTTTGCTTTTTATACATTCTCTTCATAGGGTATCTAATATAGTTCAGGTGGGTATAGTATACCTAATATAGTTAACTAATATAGTTATACATAAATGCTGTGTCTGTATTCTATATATTCTAGATATTGCATATTTCTGTAAAACAACAAAAGATAAAATGAGAAGGCATAAGACTTCACCCAGCCTAAGCTGGAAGACTGTTTGTTCTAGTCCATGTATGTCGTATACGACACAAAATTGCTGCTGGCATACATTTCTGCTCCTGTGCACATCTTCCTTTTTTTCTTGGGTTTCTCATGCAATATGAAGTGTTATAAAATCAATTGTGAGCAGCCTGTTCAGCCTCTGATCCTATTGAGCAGCTTTTGGCAAGTTCACCCCATGTGGTTTGCACTGCTTTGCAAATCGGTATTGATTCCCAGCCTTCACCAAGCTCACGTTCAAGGCTCTATCACTTGCAACCTTCATTTGTTTCAGCTTTGAGAGCTTTGCCCGCTGACAGGCATCTCCTTGAGGCGCACAGGAGAGTGAATGGCTATAAAATCAGAATCCTTCTTTAGCTGAAGTCCAGTACTCATTTAGGATGTTTTCTGCTTTACAATGGAACACTGGTAATTGGGTTCATATAAAGCTTTCAGAGAATTAAAACCTTGTGAGCATTCATTTCCACAGCAGATGGGAATTGCAAAACTGTAGCTTAAACACAGAATACAGAAGGAAAAATTGAAAAATTGTTGTTAGAGGGATCCAGTTTTGCTCTCGTTGTATTCTGCGAATGCCCTCACCCCCTTCAAATATCAGTTGATATAAAAATTCAGACCCCAGAGTCCTGGTTCATCGGTAGCTGTTGGTAACTCCACTCTCTTACCTATGCAGACCTTTCATAAAGTCTTTCTTTTTACACAGCATTATATTTGACATGTTAAAAAACAGCAACATATGATGTGAAGTGTGTGGTTTCATGTCTATGAAGAGCAAAGAGTAGGGAAAGCAAAAACAGGGCATTCGACTGGTACTGTATGATTACTGTGCTTGGCTGTAGCTTAAAATTTCAAAGAAAACATGAAAGCGAATGCAGAATGAGTACAAACCTGTCAAAGATTATTAAAAAGCCACATGGAGTTTTGACTGTTCCATGAAGTCTTATGTTAAAACTGATATTTAAAATATATATTAATCTGTAATCACCGTAGTGTTTGAGGTTTTATCTACAGCTCATGAGGTGAAATGTAGGGCCCTTACAATTACACCATAGAAAGGCTGTGTAAGCATGTTCATTTTATATATTTCACCAAGAAATATTAAATGCTAATAAATTTTCTATGAAGCTATATTGCTTTTATGATTTAAATACAGATAGTACTGTACATTTAAATTCTGGTGGACATGGAAAATTTTTGCTTTAAGCTTCTTGGTTGAATTTATAATTTGAGCCTTTTGTAATGAATTAGAAATCGGAAATCACAGAACACAATGTCGGAGAGTTCTGCCAAATGTTTTACATACCTAAAGAATCAAACACGTGTAAAGGGGAAACATTTAGACTAGTACCACAGAATTTGGATTCTGGAATGAAACAGATTCCAGTTTTGTTTATACCAAAGCGCATGTAAAATTAATGGAGAGATGTTTTCATGTACACATACTGTACCTCCATATCAATATTATAGGCGTATCGTTATTTGGCTGTGAACAAGAAGCTTGGGTTGAGTGGACGGCCAGAGAGGCCAGTTGGGTGCATTGGGACATCTAAGGTGAGTGGTTTTGTTGTTTGTTTTTTAAATCAAGAAGAGAGTAAAGTATATTTGCATTATGTTCCCCTGTTGCTTTTAATCTTGGGTTCACAGTTTTGTACTTGTAGCCTTCAGGATACAAGGAAAAAATATGTTTTAATTTCTGTAAATTAATTTTTATATACTGTAAGTTACCGGTATTTGGGGGGAAAACTCTTATCCTCAAGAGCAAGTTTTTCTGTTTACAAAACAAATCTCCAGTCAGAGAACTATACAAACATTTTGTTTGTGATGTACTAGAGAAGTGATTAGATTTATTAGTTTTTATTAGATAATTTATTAGATAATTAATGCATTGAAGCTATAGAAGCATAGAAATTATAGAGCTTTTTTTCTTTTATCATCTATAGTGGTCTTGACTATTGAGAAAAGTAGAGTCGTGACTCAAGATAATATATAGTTTCTCTGTTAAAATATCAGGGAGAAGTCTGTCAAAAAGCATCATGTCTATTACTCCATTTGTGTGTTCTTCATCAGAATCAATTTTTTGTTTTATTTCCTGTCACCGAGACGCGTATGTTATGCACATGGAGTCATTTATCTTGATTTACAAGCCCACGTAATGTTTTTCATCTTTTTTCTCTTTCTCTGCAAAGATTTATCGAATTCTAGGAAAGACTGTGGTGTGCTACCCAATAGTCTTTGATTTAAGTGACTTCTACTTGTCCCAAGATGTCATGTTGTTGATTGATGATATCAAGGTAAGCTTAGGAAAATACTGATACATATATCACAGCTGTCAAAAAAGGAAACACTTAGACTTACATGAGACTGGTATAATGTTTTTAGCTCATTAAGGATTACCTATAAAACTGCCCGCAATTTGTTTTTATAACAGATGCAGAGTCATAGTAGAGTCATAAAACAGCCCAAATTTCTTTTGAAATGTCTGTAGAGTTATCAGTATTGTAACAGAAAAGTGATTGTGTAGATGAGTATGTGATGTTTTACCTTTGGCTTTTCAGAATGCATTGCAGTTCATCAAGCAATACTGGAAAATGCATGGGCGACCTCTGTTCCTTGTACTTATTCGAGAAGACAACATCAGGTGAGCTTTGGTGACAGAGAATTTCTATTTACAGCCTCATTATTCTGTCTTTTTAATTTTGAAGGAGTTCTAAACTAACAGGTAGCCCAACAGAAAAATTGTTACATTTATGTAGATGTTTAACATACAGTATGTGATGTATGAATTTCATTAAGCTGTTTTTTGTTGTTGTTGCAGTTAGGCCTGTATATCGACAGTATAAGTACCTGTTTGTTTTTAATCTTTTTGGAGGAAACAAGGGGGGGTTCAGTTCCTCTATGAAATCTCAGGTGTCTTGAAGAGATGTGGGTTTTTCGTTAACTGAGCTTGTTTATTTTCAGTTTGTGAATAATCTGTGAATGCTGCGTTAAATATATATAACCTTAAATAATATTCAGTGCTTTTTTTTTTCCTAGACTGGTATAAAAAATGTGCAGTTTTAAAAAATAATGAGGTTTAAATATTCATGCTCTTGCTGTATGTTACCATGTGATTTGGTGCTTGGTAATTGTGCTGCCTATTTTAACTATTCAGGGGTAGTCGATTCAACCCAGTCTTAGACATGCTGGCGTCTTTCAAGAAGGGAAATGTTGGAGGTGTGAAGGTTCACGTGGACAGACTTCAGGTGATATTTTTTTTTGTTATGAACTGCGTAAGTAATGAATGACAAATAGTTGGAAATCGTTTGAGAATTATTTAATTTGCTCGAGTCTTTCCCATAGCATTCTTCTAAGTCATTAGCTTCAACACCCATTTTTTTCTGTTGAAAGGTGGTCTACTGCTTGCCTCTTTTTAAAATAACATGTTTTCAGAAATTGAGTTGTCAGAAAGGTGAATGTTCTAGTTTTTTTTCCTCCAAACAAAATAAGTTCTGAAGTTTTTTTTTAAATTATATTACATTTTTTGAACTGATTAGTAACCAAAAACTATATGAAAGCTGCCAATACATAGTTTAACCTAATATAAAGAATTCTTCTAAACCAGGCTGTGCTTGTACACTTTTGTAACACTCTGTGCTTTTACTTGAGGAGTGAAACATGAAATAGTCCATTACAACTCACCTGATTTACTCATCCCAGTAGTTTGCCAATAAGCAGAAAGCTTAATCCCTGTTCTCTGTGCCCATCACTGCATGGAGAGAAAGAAATGCTTAAAGTTCAGTTTGTGAGGCAGGCTTACTTTCACATTTATGTTTGCTTTTTCCTGAAACGTTTTATTCTGGTCCTGTCCTCTGAGTTTTTGTGATTGATGGTAGTGCTATACAAATCTTTCAGACTTTGATATCTGGAGCAATTGTGGAACAGCTGGACTTTCTTCGCATAAATGAAGCAGAAGAGTAGGAAATCTATTTAATTTATTTATATTTTTTATTAAATTAATGGGAAATCTGTTGGTAACATCTCGAAAATGATGTGAATTTTGTGCTGTATTTTTGTTCCTGCTAGAATCCCTGAATTCAGGAGTTTTGAAGAGCTGGAGCTTCCTAAGCACTCAAAAGTGAAGAGGCAGACCAGCACTCCCAATGCATCTGACCTGGAGCAGCAGCCAGAGATCGACATTAATGAGTGGAATCAAAAAAACACATACGAGATCATCCAAAAATTAAATGTAATTTTTTGGGATTTGTCAGTAACTTAAATCAGTCTGTGTTAAAATCTGAGGAATATTATTGTATATAAAATGAATTACATATACTGTATGTACATGAACTGACTCTTGTTTTTTGGTTTCATCGAGGACTGTGACTGCCTTGCAAGCCAAGCTCTACTTGCAGGCATACTCCTGAAAAGGGAAGGCCCTGATTTCTTTGTCAAAGATGGTACGTAAGATTTAAATTTTGGTAAAGAATTGTACTGCAGGTACATTAAAGCTTCAGTTAGACTCCAGCAGCAAACATAAGCCTGCTTTTATAGATTGTTCCAAAATGCTCTTATTCTTTACAGTAGGTTTCTATTGTAGATGTAGTACAACTCACCTCTGTAAAAGTTGTCAGTTCGCCTTCATATTGTAAGAGTTAGAGAAGAGAAATACAGT